AGGGTATTCCGAAATCAATTTGAAATCTATAAAAATATATTTAATTATATATATTAAATATTTTGAAAATATATAATATTAGTCTTATATTAGTATTAAAAGTATTAAACTTTTTAAAAAGTATATATATATATGTTATATTTTAGATTTTATATTATAAAAATATTAAATATTTTTAAAAGAATATAAGAATATAAGAATTTAATAAATTATATATTATTTATAAAATGTTATAAGATTTTTTTTAAATACTAAATTGATTTCGGAATATCCTTAGCTTATTACGGAATACTCTTAGCTTATTCCGAAATACTCTCATTTTTCCTATATACTAGTTCATATACCAATACCCTAGCTCATATCAAACCATAGTTTATTGGGCAATGAGCTAGCTTATTGCGCAATAAGCTAGCTCATTTCGAAATACATGTAGTTCATTGCGGAATGAGTTTGTTGCGGTATGGCCCAGAACACATTTAAGGCTTCCCAGGACATTTTAATACCCATCCAATAATACTCGATATATTAATATGCCAAAAAAAAAAACCATCTTGCGACATCAGGAACTTTCTCTGCTGGCGACCTTAACAGATTTCATTATCACGAAGTAGGTTATCTTAGCCCCACATCCGGCCGAGGGTTTATCCGCCCGAACACCATTTCTAGAATCCCTTCAACACATTCCCTTTCCTAATCACTAACTCCCCAAAAACATGCCCGACGATTATTCCTCCACAGGCGGGGGCCTAAAACTGAAGGGCGCCAGTACCGGTGCCGGCATCACCAAGAAGAAGAAGAAGAAGAAGAACATAGCTACCACAACCACATCTTCCTCGACCGCTGGATCAGAAACAGTCTTACAGAAGGCCTTAAAGGATGAAGATACTCTAGAGACGACGAGTCTTGGAGAAGATGGGAGAAATATCGACGGAGAGGATGAAGTGATGGGTTTGAACGAAGAACAACTGACGGAACTGGATCCTCGCGATCAATCTGGGAAAACGGCCTCAGAGAGAGCGCACGAGGAGATGAGAAGGAGGAGGGTATGTCATCTCTTATTTCTTTATAAACTCCTGTCCGCAGTAGGATATTTTAACATCTTCCCATAATATCTCATGTCCATGTACATATAGATACATGGTATGTTCAGAACATGTACTAATTACATTTCTACCATAGCTAAATGACCGACTCAAACGCGAAGGGGTAAAAACCCATAAAGAGAGAGTGGAGGAACTCAATAGATATCTAAGTACATTAAGTGAACATCACGACATGCCCAGAATCGGCCCTGGATAATCGGATCTCTGAAATCGAGAGTTGTGCGGATCTAGACTGGAGAGGCAGGATTATGCGAGTTCGATAATAGGATGCATTGCAGCGGACCATACGATTCATCTCTCATCGAATCCGCAATGGTTAGGAATGAAATCGAAAAAAAAGCTTGGTTTGAGGGCCTGCGAATACAATTTCGATACCCTTCACTAATTGTTACGACACAGCGGGAATGATGAATAGCGAGCGAGACATGCGATTATCCCCAGTATAATGAATATCATACCATTATAACTCTAATTTTCTCCTAGGTGCAACTGGTTGGGTAAACGGACACCCGCCTTATATCTCATTGTACGAGCGAGCTGTCCTTGCGATCGAGACTAAAAATAAGTAATAATGAATTGACGATGAGTGAAGGGCATTTGACATGAGGGGGATTTGAGGGGCTTTGAAAACCAATTTGCTACCGAGAGATTTAAGATAAGGAATGCAAGGCATGTAACAATATTGAAACATCAATCAATGACTCCTTGAGCAAAGCTCGCAATGTTCTCTCTGACCAGACAAAAGTCACGCAACGAGCAATTTTCTGAAGCTTTCAATCAAGGGAAAATCATGGGAATTCACGGAAACTTTTTAATTCTTCACACCCGGATGTTGAACATAGGAGAGAATCGGTTTTGCACATGTACTTGCATGTATTGCCATTTTTCCACAGCCCCTTCATCACCATACTTTAGTCTGCCACTCACCCCATATTAACATACATTCATTTTCTTGACTCCCTTCACTATCAACATTCATCTCGATGTCTTTTCCATGCAATTTGTAACCCTGCTCAAACCTGCTACTTAAAATTCCCAGCAATTATGCAAAGCAAAGCACATATCCCATGACGGGCTATTCCAATATATGCGCCAACCAAAGTCTGTCTTTGAAAGAATAATGAGAAATTCGTGTCAAGTCGTTACGATCGTAGTAATGAGAGACTAATAGTTAAATAAAATTGTGACCGTAGAAACCCGACACCGACGCTATGCAAATGTGTAAATATCAAAAGAATTCTGATGCGATGTATTCGTCTCGATTTCTTTGCTTTATAATGCACCGACTAGCGCCATCCCAACGGCACCGAGAATCATGTTGATTCCTAAACCGTTCTTTCCGGCACTGTTGGTTTGCAATGATGCACTTCCAGTGGAAATGCTAGTGGAGCCACCGAAGGATCCGCCAGTAACCACAGCCGGTACTATAGTGACAGCTGTGACTGTAGAAATTGAACCATTGGGTAAGGTTGTAGTATAAACTTTCGTCGAGGTGCTACTGCTGGTAGCCTTTCTGCTGGTTGTTTCGGCGGCTTGTGTAGAGGGTTCATCTGGGGTAGAAGAAGCTGTGGATTCAGCCACGTTAGTAGATGTTGAAGTGACAACCACGGTAGAAGAAGAGTCAGTAGCAGAAGAGCCCGCAGAAGTAGTCAATGGAGACAAGACATTGGAACTGGAAACCTCTGTAGAATAACTTGAGGTACCAGCCGAGGTAGTAGCTCCAGAGGCAGTGGCCTGAGAAGTAGACTCCCCGGAAGAAATGGAGGCCTCACTTGTAGAAGATCCTGTAGCCACGGGAACAGAGGCAGTATCTAAAGATGATTCAGAAGTTCGAGAGGCGGAATTAGATGCTCCCGACGCCGATGTAGTTGTTTGAGAAGATACAGAGCTCTGAGATTGAGAAACAGAGGTGATGGTCGATCCTGAATCCGATAATAAGTTTAAGCCAGAAAGTGAAGAATAAAAAGTATTGCTAGGAAGGTTGACTAAAGAACTAGAGACTGAGGTTGCAGAGTTGCCTTGAGATCCAATGGAAGTGGAAATAGGCAGCAGCAGGAAAACGGAAAGATTGCCCTCTCCAACAGAACTAGAAGCAGATGCTAAAGTCAAGAAAGTGCCATGATTTTCAGAACTGGAACCAGACACGGTAATGGATGAAGGAGCAGGATATCCAACGAAACTAGGACCAAAAGCCGACACAGTCGTAGAAGAGTATCCAAGAGAAGTAGAACTAGAGATTATAGCATCACGAGTCACAGGGGAACCTCCCGGGGATGTGGTTGAACTTGCAGATTTGAAAACCGCAGACGATATCGTTGAACTTGCAGATATGAAAACCACAGACGATACCATATAACTTGCAGATTTGATAATCGCAGACGATATCGTTGAACTTGCAGATATGAAAACCGCAGACGATATCGTTGAACTTGCAGATATGAAAACCGCAGACGATACCGTTGAACTTGCAGATATGAAAACCGCAGACGATACCGTTGAACTTGACCTCAAAGACACCGACGTGACAGTATGAGAAACTACAGTCGAGATCGAGGAGTCGTGAGGTATCATTGTAGACAAGAAAGGGGGGAAAGTAGAATTCACATAAAAGAAGTTGGGCAACGTAAAGGTAGAAGTGGGAGTAGAAGAAAAGGAATGCGAGGTCGACTCGCTTTTGAACATACCCGGATTTGTAGTTGCCGTAGATGTTGAGATTGGTGTAGTAGTTGATACTGGTACCACTGGCGATGAGGTAGTTCCATCACTAGTAACGACCCGGGATGATGAAGATACCGAAGTTGGCTCAGTCGTCGAGCTCGGAGCTGTTGTAGAGGAACCTTGTTGCGTGGTGGCAGCTGAGGTGGTTGCAGATGTTGTCACTGAGGTGCTGGTCGAGGCAACGGCTGTAATTGAGACTGATGTAGAAGATGGAGCCACCGAGACTGAACTCGAAGACGGGGACGTTTTGACCGATATAGAAGTGATGACAGTACTCGAAGCAACGATAGATGTCGTACTCGGAGTCTCAGTAGATGTCGAATTCGATCCAACCTGCCTCTTTACCAATTCAATCATAGCATTTGCCTTTGCTACCTCAACCAAAGCATGTGCCACTTCCGGCTCCTGTCTGTAAACAGCTTCCATAGTCTCCCTATCACCTTCGTAAACACCGTGTTGATATTTCTCCTTCATATGCTGATGGAGCACATCGTGCAGCATGGCAGGCTCAATAGCATCCAGCAATTCGCTGAAAGCTTGTTGATCTTTTATGCAAGGAGACGATATATCTCCCGGACTTCGATTGGTCGTAGCGGCAGAAACGATCGTGATAGTAAGTAGGGAAACGACCATAAGAGTCAGGAGGAATTGTCGAATTGAAGGCATGATGTCCGACTTTCGAGGTTTACCCGCTTCGATGTCTTGTTTCTCTTCGGCGTAGTAACCAGTCTTGCTCATCGAGGCACCGTTGACACCCGAGGAGAGCTTTTGCTCAATGTCTTGGACCTTTCGTCCATTAGCAGCTGAACTCATAGTTGCTTGACCAAGGTATCTCGGTCAAAAGAAACAAATTTCAAGGATTATATTAGGGTATTGAGCGAATGTAAATGCAGCTGTGAAAAAGATGCAGTAGTGGGTTGTAAATGCACTTCAAGGTAGAACGAATGAAGAGAGCGCAAGCAAGAAACGAGAAACGAAGGATGATGGTGGGTTTGAATCGTCAGACAATTGAATGTATGACAAGATTTATTATGGAGGGACAATAGAGCAATTGTTTGTTGAAGAGGAAAAGTAAGAGTAAGAGTAAGAGTAAGAGTAAGAGTAAGAGTAAGAGTAAGAGTTGAAACCAGAGAGAGGACGAAAAAAAGGGTTTAGCTTTTTCATCAGGGCATCACTTTCCCCTTTATGTTGTGGCTGGGTAGCTAGCTGTTCATCATGATGGGCTTTTATGTTTTGCCATAAGTAACCAGTGACCAGTAACTAGTGACTAGTGACTAGTGCCCAGTTCAATAGAAGGAAAGGTCGAGAAAGTAGGCATGGGGGAAGGAAGAAGGGAGGGGGGGTGAGAGAAGTGGTTCAATGTTTTGTAAAGAGCGAGCCAGTTACTCGTACTGCTGCGGTTGAATGGTGTAAGAACTTCGGGTAGATGAAATAAAAAGGAAACAAGCATTATTTTGAGTGATACAGCGCAAGGATGATAATGATAATGATAATGATGATAATGATGATGATGATGATGATGATGATGGTGGATAATATATATTAGGGTAAATGTGAAAATGGAGAAGACAGTGATGATTCAGTGACTCCATAGGAATACGAAGTGTAATGTAATAATATACCTTTTTTGTAATGAAATTGATCCTCGATGATGAGAATCAGTAAGCAAGTCAAGTGAAAAGAACAAATATATGTTCTGACAATTAACGAGGGGATTCGGAGACATTATACGTTTCTTATTCATTATATGTGATGGTGATGATTGTTTGAAATAATAATATACGAGTATATGCATGTGTAAACTATTCGAGTAATTGATGCACCAGATCAATAATCAAATTAATTCTATGGCGAAATCTAAAAATGAGGGTATATATCATCAATTTATTTAAAATCTATATCAAAACGATAACAATAGTATAGTATCTAATTTATAATTTATATAGATAATTCCTTAGAAGCTATTAATAAAAACTTTTCGGATCTGATCATCAATACAACCAACTCCTCTTCTTGTTCATTAAATATAGAAAAGGTTAATGTATACCAAAATCTCTAACCAATCAGAAAAAGAGGATACCAAGATTCGTATCCGGCTCGAGTTCATGGGTAGAAAAATCCCCTGCAAGAATTAATGATTAGATGCTGTCATCATCCCTATTATCATTAATTAGGATCATTTATCAACGATCTAGTCCTAACGACAACTATCCTCAAATGTCTTAGACAAGTGCTTCCTTCCATCAAGTACCACGTTTTGCAGTTTCGAGGTGATTTCTTCCTCTCCTCCATCACTACTTAGTACTGACTCACCGAGCGCAATTATATCCACCAACTCCTCTTCCACTACTCTTTATCAAACTTCTACCTTGTCCTCGTCGAATTCGCCACGAGGAAGGTTTACGTTGCTTAGCATCGGCGAGAGAAGATGGAAGAAATGCTTTATAGCCATGAAGGGTCTGCAAGCATAGCATATTCTACCAAATCAATCCCAAGAGCCATCATCATTTCTAAATAAGAAAACCTCGATTCATCAATTTAATCGTTCACTATTATTTCAAAATACATACAAAAGAATCGAACATCTCGTCCCATCTCAGACTTTTCAACTTCACTTTCTTCATCTCTCTCATCGTCATCACCAAACGTTCAAACCTAACACAAAAAAGGAGTAGGACGTTTAAAGCTTCTATCCATCCTTCCCCACTTCCGTTATATTCGTGATAACCTATCCATTCTTTCCCAAACGCAACCAATCCATCGTCCGAGCCGTCCCAATCATAAAAGTCATGTAGAACCTATCCTCATTGAACTCGTCCCATCCCAATAGCCATATGAGAGCCTGCCCTGCCTAAGCCCAGAAGTTCAATATCCCGATCCATTGTGATTTTCGTAAAAGCATCAATGAATAAACAAACTCCTTTGCTAGTGCCACAATTCATCAAATCATCGATTTCGTGGTTGTTTCATTTTACCCTTTTATACCTTTTCTCTTTTCTTTTTTATACCATCCTTCTATGTAGACCGTGGAAGGAAGAAACTCTCGATCGCAGAATATTAGATCTTCGGTTCCACGGGTAATGCACCCCAAAGCACCCCAGCCCCATATTCAGACCTTCCGATGGCCACCATCATCCATTTAAAACCCCCTCCGTATGTATTAAGACCGTGCTCCGTTCAAAGCGCAAACGAAAAGAGAAAGATGTGCGCATATCACAGAGGTCAGGAAAGAAAAATGCGTCATGACCGGAAGCACCCGATCTTTAAAAATCAATAGACAACAAGCCTATTAGAGCGGTCCTAATTTGGGCTCCTTGCGAATGAAATTCTGCTCTGACGTGCTGACACACGCTCGACAACGATCTGACGATTACGTTCCCTTCTCACCGAAAAGTATTACTGGGGCAAGGTATGTTCTCTCCCGTTGAGGCGTTCAGGTTCTTCTCCTCTGTTGACGTCGATACTTTTCCGTCGTGGCGCTAGGGCCGAAGAGCTGATATTCGTTGGTCGATCGCCAGGTGGACTCTTATTTCGTTCACGCTCAGCCTCCTTCTCCCTGCTCTCGTCCCGCTTCTCCCGCATCTTACTCTTGATCCATCCTAGGGGTCCTCTCCTCTCCTCAGGCGCTACAGATCCACTGTCATTGCTAGAATATATATGAGCGTTGGGCAGTCCTGTGTCAGGACCCACAGGCACAGTATCTCCAGTGAAACTCTTTTGAGGTCGACCTGAGCTGCCTACAGAACTGGAACTTGCACCGGCACCGCCACCGCTATCTGACCCGGTTTTCTTTGGACTTAGTATAGCCCCCAATGCATTCGAGTCATCCCTACGCCGCGACATATGCCATAATGATCGTTTTTCTTGTGCTTCGGCGAGAGCGGGATCTTCGATATGATCAAGATCTGATTGATCGTTGAAAGATGAATGGGAATGTAAGGAAGATACAGGCGATATAACCGGCCTTAACGTTCTATCGGACGGATGGTGAGGATCCTCTGGCCGCATGGGTGTAAAATGAGGAGGCTGTTCGGCACGTGGAGTTTTTGTAGCAGGAGGTGTAGCTTGAGTGTTGGACAATATCGGATTTAGTGTTGACAGGTTTTCCAAGCGAGGATGATCCGAATGGTCCGAATTGATGCGAGATGCACGGAGACCTGGTGAGACTGAAGATGATCGCCCGTTTAGAGAATTTGTCGAGCTCTGGGCGCTAGGATTCGAGCTCCCTGGAATACGCTTTTTCCTTAGCTTGTTGGGTTGTCGTTTTTCGACACCTTCCGTTGGCGATCGCTGAAACAGATTTGAGACGATTCTAGAAGGTGTAGATACCTCAGGAGAGCGCTCGTTTGATTCGAGAATCGATCGTTCTTGGCTGGTCAAAGTATGAGCCGAATTGGTAAGACTTGATTCCATAGCCGTGTTGAGTGCGAGACCTGGATATGATGGTGACAGGTGGCCAGGAGATGGAAGAGGCGTGGGTGAAAGACCTCGAGGTCCGGTAGCATGGTTGGTAGTCAAACCCACTGGAGTTGGTGACGGTGGGCTAGAGTGTTTATTCATTCGAGAAGATGGTAATCCGGGGGACTTTTTTGAAGGTACGGTATTGCTGCGATGGACACCCCCGCTAGATGAAGAAGTGAGCGTGACACCATAAGCTGGGCTTGCCGGACTAGGCGCACCATTTGACTGCCGTGAATGACGAGAGGAGACGGACACATTACGTCGAATGCCACCAAATTTGCGCACACTATCGGCTCCAGCGCTGGCATTTGAGGCAGATCTTCCAATTGTGGTCTTCGATCTGCCAGGTGTTGTGGGAGTTCCTGGGGGAGGAGTACCGCCGTTCTCAACCTCATTCACAGTTTGTTCATCCGCCGCTGTGCCTCTCATCCCAATTAGGAAATGATCCTGATTCTCAATCAAAAAAATTAACACGTCTTGACTAAGACGATATTCTGCAGGTGCCATGTCATGTTCCGGATGTGAAAGCATACCAGGCTGGAAGATGGCTGCAAGGTTGACAGCTGTCATCCGATTTTCATCCGATTTTGAGGCAAATACTGCCAGTAGATCAAGAATGTATAATAGCAGCTGGCGGTTTAGTGGCGGCAATTCAGTGATAAGTTGTTGATAGGTGATGATAGCCTTATTAACATCGAAATTGTCAGAAAATTGTGGGCTCCCATCACTGTCACCAACTGCTGCCATAGTATGACCCCTTAAAGGCTCTCTAAATCGAGAATATAGATCTAGTGGGACAATGGGTTCTGGTAGTAAATTAAGATATCTCCGTAAAACATTTGCCGCATCGTGAACTGTGTAACCAGCCCAATCAAGACCTTTTCCATAACGATCAGGAGAATCAAAGATTGTTTTTAATTCTTTGATACGTTTTTCCGAGCCACTCAGCCGGAAGATTCCCTCAACATTGGTTGCTGTTTAGATTAGTTATCAGTCAACTATCAAAACAAAATCTCAAGACATCAAACTTACCTTTCTCTTTCAAATAGACTCCACACTTTGCAACCACAATTGGTACATAACCATATATGTAGCTTTGTCCTTGGGCATCGACAAGGGAGATGGCAACATTTGCATATGCAATGCTCTGTCGAAGAGGCACCCCAAATATACCTATTGGTTGGGATTCTGGAATTTCTCTTGTTAGTTTTGATTTTATCATTGTTACCCATTTCAAAATGTTGAATTTGACATGATAATAGTGACAGAACTTCAACAACCGTTGACGACTTCTTAGGAAATTTGTGCTTTGCTTGTCTGTATGATTGGTATGATAGTTCTGGGTATGATTTTTGGAATGCTGCTTAGCTGCTACATCGTTGAATAGATTTCTGCTGAAAAGAGCTCTCTTTTTTAATCTCATACCACTGGTTGACTGAAGCTGTCCTGTTTCATAGTTGGAACCAAGCCGGGGATTAAACACAGAGGTGTCTTTCCTAGACACTAGACTGGAAGATGAAGGCCAAAAGACACTTCCAGATTTGTACACTCGAAGACACTGTGTGTCCTGTAAATGTTGTGGTATGCGTTTGTGTCTTTGTCACCACTTCTGCCTCTGTCTTTAGATACGCCGCAGGCTCTGAAACGCCATCTACTATGGATGTAGTGTCGTCCATCGGGCTCTCCTTGAATAGAGAGTCTAAATTCCTTGACAGGCAGGAAACAAGATTTGAATAGAGAGAATGGCCCAGATCCTCCCTCTTTTTCTGGACTTTCAACAAAAGAAACTTTGGGGGGTCTTTACCAGTACTTGGTTCCTGAGTTCTTGCAGGAGGTCGAAATCCTTTCCACCAGTTCTTTAAACTTTGCTTTGTTGGGGGCGATGTTGCTTGTTGTATGGGAGCTGGCTGAGGGCTCACAAAGGCTTGTTGTGCAGTGGAAGTAGGGTGATCAGACAACATATTGGAGCTGTTCCCCCAGGTCTGCTAATTACCGGGTTGATATATGAATGATACCTCCAGTGATAACGGGTGTCGCAAAGGACCAAGAAACCCAGCTGTTCTGGTGCAGAGGCAACAGGCAACAGAACCAAGAGTTCGCTTTTCGCACCAAGTCGAATTATGTATATTTTCGATTCGAAGTTGTGGAGGAATAAAAAGAAATTTCTGATTGGGTTTCGATCATTCGTAGTCGGGTATGAAGATGCATGCGACAGCAATGTGTAGGTATTATTGATGTGGGTACAGTGATTGTTTGTGGAGATTGTGTTCCTGGAGAGGCTTAATTCTACTTGCGACGCGACTGGGTCTCAAGCAAGTGCAGTAGTAGTGGTATATGATTTCTGCGATAGCGAATAGAAGTGAATAAAAGTCGAACTTGAAGGATCAAGTTATTAGCAAAACAACCAAATTGTGTCAGACAATATTGCAGTAAAGTTGCTGGTAATTGTTGAAGATGGCAAGGTGGTTGTTAATTTGGAAGTGAAAGAGTTCGGACAGTAGAAGCTTTAACGAGTTGACGCTAGTGATGAAGAGTGCAGCACTTTAGTGTAGTGTTCTACATTAGTTAGTAGGTAAGTGTTGCAAGCTTTCACTTAATTAAATCTGCCCTGCTGACCATGAAATAGGAAGGGATAGGAGGATAGGAGGATAGGACAACATTGAAAACAACTAACTTCAGCCCTTGGACGTTTTGTTTTCTTATTTTGTTTGGAAAGTTTTGAAATATACCTACAGAGGGATCCCAAGTCCAAGTCCAAGTCCAAGTACCAGTTAGAATATATATATATATATATATATATATGATAATGGATCTATTTACTTATGAGGTTGCTTTCAAGTTTCATTATACTCGAGTACAGTGTACGTATTATCATATTAATGAATATGAAAACAATGTGTTATGGTAGATCTTGACTCTTGGGTAACACTTTTTATAGCAGTTAACTGATCTACAAATTATTCACCCAGTTCAGAGAAGGATTAGTAGCGAACAAAGATCTGGACTTTTGCCTGAAGGGTCTCAAGAGGGTCATGAGTGGATCTATAATTAGATGATTTATTTGATGACTTTTAGAGACCTATGAATATATTTGATACATGTCCATATCCATAACACAAGACATATGAAGTTGAAGTCACTACCTAGGTACCTAGTCATTGAAAGAAAATAAACCTACTTACTTCCACATATACACTGATTCATTGATTGAACAAGTACAGTAGACCTTTTTCCGTTGTGCCCAGAAGATGAGTTTATAGAAATAAGAGAAGATTGAGAAGGTGTTAAGCTACTTCATCTTTAGACAAGCAGAAAGAAATACCTCTTCATATTAGCTGCTTTTCTGTCTTATATTTGTGTTCCATAGAAATCATCAATTGGATGAATACTCAGTAGATAACCATTATCTATATCGGATAAAAGTTATCAGAACTCCGATATTTACCGAACCAATAATATTATCTCTAGTTATTTACCTTGCTAAAATTCAAGCCTTTCAATTTGGATAAGCTTCATAGAAAGAGTTTATCAGCCTCATCAGCCTTGACAAGTTCTTCATATTAAATTTGATTATTTCATTAACTCAATCAAATCTCTCCCACACATATATTCAAACAGTCATCATGGAAGGGTAAGTAACATGAGCTATCCACATGCTTTTCAGCCAGAATCAACTAACTAGTATGTATCAAATAGACTCACCCCCTCAGAGCAAAGAGAATTCCAAAGCCGCATGGAAAGAAAGCAAATGAAAGAATTCATGGGCGTGAGTTGATCTCTTTAATCTCTTTCATATATCATCACTTGCCTACGGTCAACTACAAAGCTTCTCATCATTCCAACCAGGGGAATGCGGCAGAGACAAGACAGTCCAATAAACCCCACGCCGCACTTAACGAGTTCACGCAGCTCATCCAGCAAGCGAAAAGTCTATGAAGGTCCAGCGTCCCTGATATCTGACCAGTTTCCACCAAACCTTCTCTCTTCACCCCTGGCGACAGTTTGCTGGCGCCGCCCGATTGAGCATTCTTTAAACACGTCGGCTTGATCAATAGTCGTATCTCTCATTCAGGTTTCGACTCTTGTGCGAATCATAATGGTATCTTGGGACCTACCTTATATGATCATAGTCGCCGTTGCATACAAGGAATTCGCGAGTCCGATGATTAAAGCATTCCCAGATTGGCAACAAGCAAAATGCTTGAATGTTAGTTTTTGTTATAGTATAGTTGGAAAGTTCCGAGTCCGCTGGCTTTAGAACTTCCCATATATTGAGCACTACGCGCACCTGGCCATGAAATCTTCACTTCATCCCCATGATCTTACTCAGCTTTTTTCAGCTCAACGACCGACTAACAAATCTCTTTCATCACACAGATGTTCTCCAACCTCGTTACCCACTGCTTCGATGCCTGTGTCGACGATTTCACCACCAAATCCCTCATTGCTCGTGAGACCGGTTGCGTCACTCGATGTGTGCAGAAGTTTATGGCGGGAAGTGAGAGAATTGGTCAGAGATTTCAGGAACAACAGGCACAGATGATGAGTCAACCTCCTCCTGGGTCGAGGTAAATCTAGTCCGTGGTCTAGCAATGTAGATAGTGGAAGGAGGAATAAAAAAATGAGGCTGTAAGATTGATGTTTTGAGGATGGATCAATGCCGAAGAAGAGGATTGACATGATTATGAATGTCCGCATTATGCATGATGGCAATGAAAGAATGATGAGAAGCACATCTTTGAAAAAGACATGTGTGGATAGCACATGATAGGATGGGACTCCGAATTCTCCTCTTCAATTAGCCGGAAACATTCTCTTAGACTTTGTAAATGAGACCACTGTCTCGATGCAAAACAAAAGACTTTCAAACTCAAAAACCTCATACTCTCTTCATTCTTCTCATTGATACAAAAATTAAATGCGGATGTTCTAGTATTCTGTTTATCTCCCAAAAGCGGAAACAACGCCACTCTCATACACCATTCACTTCTACCCCATCCTACCTAATCCATCCACTCACGGATCCCCCCCACTAACCACATCCCTAATTCCCATCATTTCAAGAACCACCTTCTCCTCTAATCGATCCAAACAACCCATTGCCCCTACCTTTTCAACCCCTATCTTCTTCCCCTTCCACTCCAGATCCTTATCACCCATCGGAACAATCCTCTCTCTCAAGACCATTCGACTCCCCAACCAAAACTCTACATTCTCTCCCACTGCGCCAAGATCCCAGTTCACCTCTGGAACAGTTTGGATTCCTTGCAATTGTTCTCTAAATCCATTAAGAATGTAGACAACAAGAGCTAGTGAGTGAACTTCTGAAGCGGTGGACAATGAAAGATGTTTTGGCTGTGATATCGAAGTCGTGCGCGAGGATTCAGGCGCATCAAAAGCCGCTGCGGATTGAGCAAGGAGGTGAGGAAATTGGTTGATGAAGAGGGCGACTTCTGTGGCAATAGAGGCGCCGACTGAATGAAGGAGATTGAGTATAAGAGGAAGAATGCCGCGAACCCAGATATTGTAACAGCGTTGAATGCCGGCACCGTCAGCGAATGGAGAAACATTGCCACGACGGAGATAAGTGGTTATGCTTGCGGAACTGATTTGACCAAGAACACCATCAACGGCGAGCTGTTCGGCCATGATAGGCATACTTGAGAGTTCCAGGAGGAAGATGATGCTCAACTCACCATAGATGGGATCACCATTTATTGCGATTTGGTCAGACCAAGAGAAGAGTGTACTAGCTATACGAGGGGTCCTGCAACTAGCCATGATAGTCACAATTTGCGAGTGGTGAAACTCGATGCCTGGTATCCGGAGACAGGCTTGCAGAATGCCTGTGATGAGAGCGATGTCTTCTGGGGATGACTGTTCATGGTTCTCGTGAACGATATGAGCCAGATCACCCAGGCCCTGGGCAACTACACGTTCTACAACGTCGACGACCATATAAATATCTGGTGTCGATTCCGATTCCAACTGTTGTTTTCGTGTGGATGCTCTGGGGTCAATAACTTCCGGATTATCATCTTCAGCATGTACTCGCAGAGCCAAGAATAAAAGTTTAATAAGCAGTCTATAATACGGTCCATCTCCTGTCGCAAGTGCAAGCTCAAAACTTTTGTCCAAGCTCCGGATCGTTTCCCAGGTTATTTTGAGGAGACCCTTCATCTTATGGCTTCTTGGGTTGACTTCTACCAATCGCTGGCAGGCAACAAGCGCGAAGTCTGCCCGTGTTCGAAGTAACCGACAGAGTACCTTTTCCGTTACCGGACTCTGTGTATTTGAGGAAAGGCATTTGAGAGCAGCATCAACGAGAGTCTCTTGGTGGTCAGATTCCTTGGTCATGTTGCTACTTAGTTCCACGGCAAGAATTTTCCAAGCGTTTAACAGGGCCTAAAAGAGTTAGGACGCAGCTGGGGGTTTGAGAGTAGCTTACTTACCACCTGAGCATCAACTAAAGACAGGTTGATGTTAGCACTGGCGAGCTCGAATTTATACCCGTCATTTCTACGTCCCGTCCAAGCCACGTCGGAATTGAGCATTTGGTCGAGTAGTTGTAGATCATAAAAGTAGTTCTCCCCAAATTTTCTATCCTCTAGATCCGTCTTCTTGAAACTCTGAAGGCTGGATCTAGCATATTTGGCATCGAAATTTTGTTTGAGATTTCCGTGTAGAGAAGCGTTGTAGGTCGGAAGTCCTCCTGCATTCTCGAAGTAATAATTCAGTTTTGGCATAAGATCTTTGGCAATTGAAGGTTTGCCAGTTTGTCTAGAATGAAAGAGGTGCATTGCAAGGATTTCTGCAATGTAGGCCGCAATTCGAGTCCGATAGCAAGCCTTGATTGCTGGTTCACTTCTGGACGAAATTTGAATCGGTTTTAATGTTTTGATATAGTTGGAGAGATAGTTGATGAAGCCTGTACTGTTTTCCAGCTCGTACATAGTCCATGGCCAAAAATTTTGTGCCAAAGAGACAAATTCTAACATCATCAAAGCCTCCGAATCCGGAATATCTCCAATTTGTGAAAGATTGTCAAGGGCCGTGAGAAGAAGAGGTTTTGGCGATGAAGATTTGACAACGTCGGGTTTCTTCTTTTTTAATGCATCCCTTGGCGTTTTACCCGTAAGAACATAATTTGCAAACCACTGTTGCCGACTGCTCATTATCATTGACAGGAAATGCCAAATTGTTCCGACGTTTTCATCTCTAGTCAAAGGTGTATCCAGATCCGACACGACATTAAGAAAATTCTTCGAAGTCTTCGCACCGAGGTAACCTAGAAGTGAAGGAGGCTCTGAGGTGCTACTGGAAGCGCTGACTATCATGGCCTCGAACAGTTTGATAATGGGGATACGATAGCTATCATTTACGGCATAAAGCCGTGCGATGAGAGGTGCCGCAGTAAATAGCTGTGTCTCCAGGTGTGATGGTTTTTCTAACAACGTACTGATTCGAAGAAGCTGCCTGGAAAACCCAAGTGATGCTTTGACACCTTCGGCGACTAGTCGTGATCGATTGGCATACAGCGTAGTGAAACGAGTATTGAAGCCATAGAACAAAGTGCGAAGAATTGGTCCAAATCTCATAGGCCCAGAGGACTTGGACAAAAAGCTATCAACGATGTGCATGGCTGCAGGCATTAAAGCTCCCATAATTGGAACAGCGGGGTCCAGATGATCTTTGGGATCATTCGCAAGATCCGATTTTGGACGAGGGTCCGACTGTGGCAATTCTTCTGGAGCACCCTGGATTCCAAAAGCGTACGTAAGCATTTTATCGAAAGAAGACATTATAGTCTTTGTGAGCTGGAGTTGATCGCCAGGTTGGTCAAACTGCCAAGTGTATGAGCTTTCTAATACCTCCGTCAGGTACCGAGTAAAGTAAAGAAGGACCTCGGAAAGAACTTTATCTGCAACGCGAACATTGTGTTCCTCGACCTCGTTAAACCGAGCTGAAGCCGCAGTCACTTTGCGGTTTCTTGCAATAGCGTTCACTGCAAAATCATTGACCAGTGCTTCGAAGAGTCGAGTGCAAGATATAAGGAAACTGAATTTCCCAGATATAACTTCGATTTTTCCGACAATACTAGATAGCTTACCACCACCACGCTCGTTGGATAGAAGACCGCTACGACCAATAAGTGGCCAGACTCTTCCAGGCGAAAACAGAAGTAGGGCGTGTAAGTACTGTACACAACTGATCAAAACATCGAGGGAGGCATCAGAGCTGGATTCGCTCGATTGTCTTTGCAACTCTTGTTCGAAAATAGCAGATATCACAAGAGTAATGTCTCTGTTCCGACTTAATGCCGAACTAGCAGTCTGGAAGAAATCGGTAGCATCATCCTGGATCCGATTCGCATCTTTTTCTGACCTGGATAGGGCTAAAAGGCCCGTTGAAAACGTTCCAATGATGTCGGCAACAGTCTCGGAGTCTGCTTCCATACCGGTAGTAGCGTCATATTCCTCCCCAGCAACTAGATATGTTTCCAGCAATTTTCCAAAATACCTCATACCGCGATAATTGTGGGTGAGGTAAACCACTTTTGGATCGTTTTCGACTATTACAACACCAAGTGTTCCTGACGGAATGCGTAGGTCTCCATTAGCTGCTGCCAATACTAATGCCTGCCCTTGGTTCACATTTCCCATCAAAAGTCCTCTACTAATTCCACGCCCTCGCGACTCAAACATAGGAAGATCGTTAGTTAGTTGGATGGAATTGTTATTGTCTTCCTCCTGGATTGTCTCATAGTCTGCGAATTGATATGGTAATGGGTATGTAAAAGTTGATCGAATGTCCAGTAACGAGAATATCGACTCGCAGACCCCTGCCCCGACATTGTGCAGATACGCCAGAGAACGAACGAGGTTCTGAAATGGGGAAGCTTCCCAAGGATAGCGCATACTGGCATTTTCCCAGAAATCGCGAATCAAGCCCGTATCCGAAACGAAAAAGGTCATAGGCTCAGGCTTGTTTTCGACATTTCGTAAATCAACCAGATCCCAATATTGTTGTCCTCCTTCTATAACAGAAAGAATAGTTTGCAGCGTTGGGGCATTGTATCCAATCTCAGGCGCAATTGCCTTCATGACCTCTAGTATCGCGATTCTCAAGCTTGAACCAATTTGAGGCATAAAAGCTGCCTCGTAAGTGTCACCAAGCGTCCGTGAAATATTTGCTAGAACTTCGAATACACGACTCTCGTTGACAGCGCTTACTGCCAGATACTCGACAAGTTCATCGATGCTAGCCCTCCCTTCTATGATTTTTTTCAGCACCTCTTCATAGGCATCGGAGGCCAAAACAGGTTCCGTTCCAACCAACAATCCTTCATCGCTTTCTTCTTCATCATCATCATCATCATCATCATCATCATCATCACCGAGGCCCTCATTTCTTCGACGCTGGAGTCTCTTTCGATTACTGACGCGGACTTTGATATGCTTTAGAATAACGCTCCAAGCGAGGACTGCCGGGCCAGCTGTGATATGATTCGCGGACGCTGCATCCATGATTATCTCATGAAGTTCAATAATCGCGGTTTGATTCAGTAACCATGGTTTATTTGGACCCTCTTCTAAATCAACAGGTCCTAAATCTGAATGTCTCTCGAGGAATGTCAAACAGCTATCGACGTTAAGTATGGCGGCTGTTATGACAGTGCTGATAGTTTGCAAAGGAAGAGCAACAGCTTGGAGAGTCGGATGAAGCTGTGGGTGGTGTTCGATCAGTAAAGAGGAAATCAAGAAGCATAGGCAACAAACGTACCATTCCCATCTCATCCAGGAACTTGAACTTGGCGACAAAACTGAACCATGCAAGTATCAGGTCCGAGTGAGAAATTTCAAACGCAGTATTAAAAGGAGATATGTAATAGAATATTGTCTCCATCATATGCGTTGCCTCAACGATCTGATTACTTCCCCACTCAATCTCAAGTTCATCGCGTCCATCTCCCTCTAAGGTCCACCCGCTACCATGACCTTGCTCGTCGAATAGTTTTGTAAGTCCGGTCTCGATAGTTTTGACCAGTCCCACCATGCGATCCTGGGAGGCTCCCAAACCTTTCCACCTACTTAACACTTCTATATGCAGACCTTCGTACCAGACGTCTAGTGGAGAATCCCGCGTGGGTGAAAGTCTGGGTCGTTGAATTAATAACGTAAGACATTTCCAGAAAAAGCGTCGTTCCGATAGATAAATGCTGAGCATCCGCACACGGCGGTTTCCCTGGCTTTCTTCTTCTGATGGCGCAACCTCCGCTTGTGTGCCAATAAGGGATCCAGCGGAGAGCAGATTTGTAGATCTCTTGTTGCCAAAGGCATCTTGAAGACTGATCAACTCTTCTTCTGAAAGCTTTCCTAAGAGTTGCGCATATGCCCGCGATTGATGTTCTTGGACCACTACTCTTAAAGCAGAAACCTCGTCGATCTGAGCCGTCTGACTCAACCATAATGCATCCTCTGACACTTTCTTAAAGTCGTAATCCACGGAGGAACGGTCGGCATTGATCGGACTGACTTTTGAGTCGAATTCGGATTTGGTCGGGGCAGTGGATTCTGGAAAGGCATCGGCAGGATTGGAAAGTAAAGATAATACTTTAGAATCTTTAAAGAACTTCTCAAGCGTATATTGAGCTCCATTTTCTTTAACATCTAAAAGAGCAAAAAAAGCCGTCTCCCAAGAGCTGTAAGTTCTTTTAGTAGGATGCAAATAACGTTCATTTGTCAATGAAGCTTAACTTACATCAATATTTCTTCTCCTTTCAAACATTTGCCCAGATCTGGAAAATAGCTGGTGGTTGGAATTGGTACCATATCTTATATCTTATCTACCCAAGCTCAATGAGCCAAGATTTGTAATAAACTGTTGTTCGAAGCATAAGAAAACTCAGCTTCTATCAATTAAAATTAATATGTTTTCTGTTGTATGTACTCGTAGGGATTTTGGTTGACGCGCCTAATCGCGGTCAATCTTTCTCTTCGCTACTATAATTAATTTAGGTACAGGGATTATTTACAAGTATGAATCCCCCCCCACCCATCATCCAATCATCCACCCTTATCTAAAGGGAACCTTTGATCTTTGACAACTCATAGATACATACAACTTACTGAGTACATAAAACCTTACCACTGCCACCCACTTCCTTTCCCCTCCGCCTCAAAGACAGCAGTCATTTTCAAGCACTTCTTTCATTCATCATTCATTATTCATATACAATAGTATAAACGTTTCAAAATGTCTGCTGCAGAGCTAATTGATTATTCTCCGCACCAACCCGACCCAGCTCCCCCACTAACATCTGCCTCAAACGTCATCTTAATTGATAACTTCGACTCATTCTCTTGGAATATATACCAATACCTTGTTCTTGAGGGAGCAACAGTAACGGTTTACCGAAACAATGAACTCGACGTCGAGGAACTTATTGCGCTCAAACCTACTCAATTGGTTATAAGTCCTGGACCAGGTCATCCAAAAACCGATTCGGGTATTAGTAGAGATGCTATCAAACACTTCGCAGGCAAGATACCTGTGTTTGGCGTCTGCATGGGACAGTGAGTATTCGGCGTATGACTGGGTGAGCCATTACTGAACAGATACCTAGACAGTGCATATTGGACATATATGGAGGAGAGGTTGTGTTTGCTGGAGAAATCTTACATGGCAAAACATCCCCATTGCGACATGATTCGAAAGGAGTATATGCAAGTCTACCGCAAGACTTACCGGTGACACGATACCATTCACTTGCTGGCACACTTTCGACTATACCCGAATGTCTCGAAGTATCATCCTGGATCGAGGCCGGCGTTGATGGAGGAAAAGGAGTGATAATGGGGGTTAGACATAAAGAATATGTCCTAGAAGGCGTGCAATACCATCCTGAGAGTATCTTGACTGCTGAAGGTCGAGTCATGCTCAAAAACTTTTTGAAGATGCGAGGTGGCACATGGGCAGAGAACGAGCGCTTGCAAAAGGAGGATTCGAACAGTGCGACGCAAGTCTCCAAATCCGATTCCACTGGTACCAAAAAAGAGAACATATTGGACAAAATTTTCGCGCATCGTAAAGCCGCAGTATCTGCACAAAAAGAAATCCCTTCCCAACGACCCTCCGATCTTCAAGCGGCTTATGAGCTCGATATTGCCCCCCCTCTTGTTCCATTTGTCCAACGTCTCCGCAAATCTCCATTTCCGTTGTCACTTATGGCCGAGATCAAACGGGCATCTCCTTCCAAAGGTGTCATCTCTTTATCTGCATGTGCTCCAGCTCAAGCTAGAACATATGCTCTAGCCGGAGCAAGTGTGATTTCTGTTTTGACGGAGCCAGAGTGGTTCAAGGGGAGCATCGATGACTTGAGAGCGGTACGACAGGCTCTTGAAGGCATGCCAAATCGACCCGCTGTATTGCGGAAAGAATTCATCTTCGAAGAATACCAGATCTTAGAAGCTAGATTAGCTGGTGCTGATACGGTTTTGCTTATTGTCAAGATGCTAGATGAAGAAACCCTGATCCGCTTATACCATTACTCTAAGTCGCTTGGAATGGAGCCTTTAGTGGAAGTCAATACACAAGACGAAATGGCCATAGCCGTCAAGCTTGGCGCACAAGTCATTGGGGTGAACAACCGGAATCTAACAAGTTTCGAGGTAGATCTAGATACTACAAGTCGTCTTCTTAACCAAGTCCCAAAAGAAACCATCGTGTGCGCGCTCAGTGGTATCTCCGGTCCTAAGGATGTAGAAGCATACCAAAAGAACGGTGTAGGTGCAGTTCTTGTGGGTGAGGCGCTTATGCGAGCCAAAGATACAGCCCTCTTCATTCGAGAACTACTTGGGGGTTCAAGTATTCCTACTAAATCCGCAAGCAGTAGTCTACTTGTAAAGATTTGCGGAACAAGAGACGCCGAGACTGCGGCGGAAGCTGTTAAAGCTGGCGCGGATTTGATTGGAATGATTCTTGTCCCTGGTAGAGGTCGACATGTTCCGTACAAGGATGCAATTGCCATTTCGAAGGCCGTTCACCAGTCCCAGCAGACAACCGGAACGGTTTTTGGTGATCGAGTGAGCAACCAAGCATCAGATTTCTTTAGCAATGCAGCATCAAATATTTCGAATCATCGGCCTTTGTTGGTTGGTGTCTTCCAGAATCAACCTCTTGAGGAGGTTCTGGAGCTGCAGAAGGCATACGATCTAGATATAGTACAACTGCACGGTGATGAGCCATTGGAGTGGGCAAACACAATACCAGTTCCTGTCATTCGAAGCTTCAAACCTGGTCAGTTGGGTCTTGGGAGAAGAGGTTACCACACCGTTCCTCTGCTAGACTCAGCATCAGGAGGCTCTGGGCAAAAATTAGATATGACGGAAGTTCAAGCTACTTTGACAAAAGATCAAGGCCTTAGAGTTATTCTCGCTGGCGGGTTAAATCCCGAGAACGTAGCAGAGGCTGTGCGATCAGCGGGTGTTGTTGGTGATCGGGTAATTGGTGTGGACGTCAGTAGTGGAGTAGAAGAAAATGGTTCTCAGAGTATTTCGAAGATCAAAGCTTTTATAAAGGAAGCAAAGAGCGTTAGATAGATATGGTCAGATAGTGTGGAACGATTGTTGATGGAAAATCATGATAAATGACTAATTCTTGTGAAGTGTCGAATTTCCAGTCGAGAAGTTTTCCTCAATCAACCTGCGAAGTGCAGAACTTTTCATATTCAACGCACCGTTACGAGGGCGTTGTCATTTCTGATCGAAATGTTGGCGGCTTAGAGCTGCATCGGCTCTCTTCGTGGTATTCCGCGCCAACATCGGTCCCCCCCTTTCTCCTTGCCTCCAACCGAGAACATTTCACTTTTGGAATTTGAGTATATTTGACGTGGAAACTCCTTTTTAAACAAGCTTTAGACTATTACATCAATCTATCCTCAATACCATATTCGAATGTGGGCTCGTTTTATTTTGCTTTTTTTTATCCTCAATTATTGGGAACGTATTCGTCCTTACTAGTGTTCGGACCAATTATTTATCCCATCCCCGGTCTCAACTACCTTTACCTCTCTAGTCCAGCAACAAATCAATACTTTAGTCTCGCCCCACCTCCATTGCAAGTTCCAAGTCCCCAACGTGCAACCAATACCTACGCATTTTCACATCACTAATCTTTTCCCCGATTTCATTACAGTACTTCTCGATCACATAGTTATCATCAGTTATTCGATTCATCTTGAATCGCCTTACTTCTACTATCTTCTTCAATCTTCAGCAGCTCGCAATTTTAGTCCCTCCCCGACACTTGATATCTTCCTTTCCGCCTCTCGAAATCACAAGCTTACTTCACCAACTTAACCATTCCGTCAAGTACTATACATCCTTAGGTCCAATATCTCTGTAAGTTGCTATTGAGTATTCGATATTTTCTATTCTAGTATCTCCTAACAGATTCACGCTTCAAATCACTTTCGTAACTCATAATCTTCTCGGAATTTTTGTCTTGCATCTGCCAACATCCTTGATTCATCATGTTTAATTTCACGCAACTTTTGGACATTTTAGATTAAGCGAGATTTTTTAAATCTATGAAGTATGGGAAGCTACATCACCGAGATTTTAAACTTATTACATCATGGCCTTCTGTCATTATAGCATCTTGTTTTATCTTTCTTGCTCTGCCTTTGAGATATAGCTCGGATAATACCACCCTTGGCCACACTTAAGGTGTATCTATCATCAATTCTTCAAGCAGAGATCCTCCGTGGTTGTTAATTACAAATTGCAGTTTATCCTCTGGTCTAGAATTTTGTTGCAATAATTCTCTCCTACGTTGTCCGACATCACAGTAAGCTAACATCATCCACAGATCACACCACACCCTCAAAACAACAGCCATGCCTCGCATCCGCCATAACTCCTGTAAAACCTCCGCCAAGAACCAAAAAGTAACCCACCCAACACCAACCAAGCGTTCCAAGAAATCCTACAGCAACGGCGCCATGAAACCCGTTTTCACCGGTTGCAAAATGTCTCTGGCAGGCGACTTTATCGCCGAACATCCTGGTCCCAATGCCGAGCAGCAATGGTCGTACGAGAAGATCTTCAAATGGATTCAAGTCCATGGCGGCGAGTATGCTAGGGAAGTCGATGAAGATACTACGCATTTGATTGTTACTATTAAGGAATACAAGAAGAAAACAGTTCAGGGTGCGCCATTTCTCGTCTTCGCAATCGCTCATGTTGGGTTTATTATAAGGCTTTGCTAACACAAAACGCTCGTACTATAGTCCGCAAAGCAATGGCAATGGGCAAGCGATGCCACATTGTAGTTATCGACTGGTTGGTCGATTGTCTCACTTCAAAATTGAACAAGAAAAAGAAACTCGTAGTCACGGGCTATACACTTGGTCGAGTGATCCGCCGCTTGCATCATACCGAGGATCAAAAGATAAATTATCGACAGAGATTCGAGGAGGGTGTTAAAGCCGGTAAGGAATTATGTGATAATCGTATGTGCAGTTTTTCGTAATGTATTACAATCATGCTATGTACTCCTCATATGTTTGCTTGCTTATTATTACTTCTTTTCACTCGAGAATGCGTAACCTAACGAAATTTAGGACTCCATCACGTCTACACCGACCAAACAGATTTCGAATACAAAGTCGTCCTCACCCGCGTCCTCCTACACGGCAAGAATAAGAACCAGAAATACACCGTATACCTCTTTGCATCAAACGCTCAACCAAGTACCTACATGGCCGGGGCGAAACTCACATCTGCCTACCAAAGTCCCTCATACCTCCGAGATGAATGTCATCGTAAGCTGTTATATCCTACATTGACCCCTACCTTTCTAATATAATACACAACTAACCGAGTGAGTATAGCAAAAATCTTCGAAGAAGCCTTCAAAGACTTCAAACAGATCTTCAAGTCCAAGACCGGTATCGAATGGGACGATCGATACGAACCACTTCCTGAAAACCATCCAGAATCGATGTTTAGATATCAAAGACCTACATTAGGCCGTCCGATGGGCATGTTACCAAGTTGGAGACAGGCGCCTAGCTGGAAGGACTCGGATGGAAACGGGGAGAAGGAACTCGATTCTTGTGGTGAGGAAATTGGTGAGAAGAACGATGAGGAAAGTGAAGTAGAAGTGGTTGCGAAGGAGAAATGGCAGAAGGCAAAGAGAGTACGAGTGGAACATGAGTACGATAGTGATAGTGAGGTGGACGATGATGAGGAGGAATTCGATGAGTTGATGAAGGATCATTTACCATCACTTCCGTCATCGCCTCATGCTCAAACTTCAGCCGGGTTTCCAAAGGAAGAGATTATTGTCATTTCGGATTCGGAGACGGAGGCTGGAGATTCGGCTGCTGAGATGAGATAACAGCAGGGTAAGTTTCTGGGATACTTTTTTCCTTGATTCTTTTCAAACCCCTATTTAGACTGACAATCCCTAGCTCAAATCCCAGCTTATCGCCTCGCAATGATCAATCTAAACCCATCCGCCTGATCCTGATCGACAGCTTCATTCACAAAAGCCATGATGAGCAGTTTCCATTCCTAAGCTCCTGTCTAAATCAACCATCCACCATGTCCTAAAACCACAACCACAACCACACCCCATGATGACCCAGCCGGTACTGGGGCGCCAATGCGACAAAACATCGATCGAGTGGTCTTGAGATTCTACTGGCAAACATCATCAAGTCCAAAGCAGCTGATATTTTTTCCGTCTTTTTCCCTTTTTTCAAACATTGTCACTCGCACAAACAGACAGACGGCCGGAAGAATCGACGGAATCATTTTACGTTATTTTCAGTACATACAGAAGAGGCCGAGGGAGGGATCATCTGATTAACACACATTGTTAAACTTCTTTTTGGGGTTTATTTGCGCATCTCTTATGACACAGATTACAGCGGATGGATAGATGAGTGGATATCTATCTCTCTAAAGGGAGAATACTCGGAAGCAAATAGGGTAATTCTACCGTAATTTGCAAGCGTTATAGTCATCATTATTTGTTACTTATCCAACGTGAGATTGAACTTGCAGTGTGATATGTGGCGTACTCCCTCGGGTACAGAACTATGCTTGGAAAGGGGTGGGTAGATAGATTATTTGGCCACCACAAAATGTAACATGTACATCGCACTCGCCCGACTCCACCGCACACAACACAAACCCGTCATTAACATAGCTCCACCCAATGCCCATATTTGGTAGGAATCAAAGTACTAACCCAAAAGCCTACCACTGCCTGTGGTATCACCCAAACACCGCGAGCCCCGATAAAAACCCAACCCCTCCAGCGTGTCACCAGATTCCCATTTTACAAAAGACGCCATCCCATTCCCATTCCCATTCCCATATCCTCCCTCCCCCAAAATCAGAACCTCAGCTTCGGCAAGACAAACACGATAACGCACGCTAACAACGCCAACCCCGCAATCCACGCATACATCATCATCCGTCCCCACCAACCCTTCCCTTCCGTCATACTCCTCAAATAACCCATCCTCTTCGACGCAGCTTCCAATCCTATCTCGTTCTTATTGATATTTGTAACGGCGGAATCTAGAATAGTGGAATCGGTAGCGAGGGTGCTGGCGAAGGTGTGGGATCGGGCTCGGAGTTCTTGGGCCATAGAGAGAAGGGAGTTGGAAAGGACTTCTTGTTCGGTGCGGTGGTGGGTGAGGAGGGTTTCGTTTGTGGCGGTGGCTGTCGACGAGGGTTTGGGGGCGGATTTGGAGTTTGAAGTGGATGTTGTATGGGCTTGTCTGGAGGCGGTTTCGAAGAGTTCGGCGCGGTGGTTACGAGAGCGAAGAGTAGAGGACTCGGGGGGTTGAGAGAAGTGAGTTTGTACTGGGGAAGGAAGAGATTCCATGTGAGTGTTAGGTGGTGGCGTGTAATCCGTCGGTGAAGGTGTAGAGCGTTCTTCATCTCGAGTAGTATTCGTCCCTTCTGTAGTTTCCGAGGGTGTATCTTGATCATGAGCCAGCAGATCCTCTCCCTCCGACGAATCCTCGCCCTCTTCCTCGTAACTTGCAAGCTACAAATGGTATTAGCACATATCCAATTCAGCCCAATAGTCCCAGAGGAGCAAACCTCAAGCAGCTCCTCCAATCGTTCACTAAGTCTTTGTATCAAATGACTTTTGCGCACTAAATCCGCCCCGATCTCCTGTTTCCTCGATTGTACTTTAATGTTCTGCGCATCCTGCTCTACATGTACCAACAAACCCCGCGCATATTCCAGATTCTACATGTCAAATCATTAGCCACAACCCCCCTTCCTGAAAACAATAGAATGGCCTCACCGTGCCAACCTTCACCCACTCAGCATATCTTCTAGATCCCGACAATGTTGTATCTGGGTCCAAGATAATTTTTTGTAACCGTGCCAGCATACGCTCTAGATTCGCAGCTGTAGAATCTCGAGCTGGAACTGGTACTGAATTGAGTCTGGCCATGCTGATGTTGCAGAATACTAATTCATGAAAGTGTCATCAAATCAAATCAACAATTGTGTCCCATCCTAGTTGTCTCCGCATTCTAGATTGATTGATGCTATTTGTGGCTTTTCCCAAAACCAAGTTGGGAGAAGTGTGGCTCGTGGCTAGTGGCTAGTGAAAGAAATATGATGTAACACCTAATAAAAGCGCCATCTCCTCGCCCACCTCGCTCACCAATCCATTTTAGGCCACGCTTTGAAGGTCGGCGACGTCAAAAAAATGAGATGTGCAACAAATTCACAACATCAAATACGCTTTGCCCATATGAGTAACCCTTAGTCTGGACCTTCGAATCAGCGTCTCAGATCTATAGTGAAGAATAAACCCCCTGGGTCTGATAGCGGGACGTCGTGGAGTTGTTGTACCATGGTGTTGGCTGGCTCACCCGATAGCAATTGAGCCTGTGAGAAAGCCGTGCGGCTGCATAATCGAGCTATCAGGCAGAAAGACGTCTAGTTCTTACTATTGCTGACCGGTGGTATATACGTTGGCGGTCATATGCGACCTCCCTAGTATTGAAGCTCTTCAGCTGGTGAGTTTGATGATTGGGAACACAAACTCAAGGGTGGATTTTGGCTACATTACATACAGTCTCCAACATGGCTGAGGTCATCATTCACCTGCGAGGATAATAGCTTGTATGTCTTCAGAAGCGAAGATGAGTATCAAGGAGCATACCTCCTGACCCAGCCCTTTCTCGGCCTGGTATTGCGTCGAAGTGCATTAGAAGGCCCGCTAAGGTTGTGGCCGGTAGTGATTTTAGAGGTCACACATGCATGGTGTGCATAATGGCATAGAATAGATAATACAGTTCGAGTAGAATAATAGAACGAGGCAGCTGTAAGAAAGTATTACTGTAGTCCCTATCCTGGTTCTCCATTACTTCTGCCCATTGTCGATAACGATAAATACAAATATAACAAGGTACCATAATACCTGCATGTCTGGTATATATGCATCCTACACCTTCACTCCACCTTTGAACACTTAAGCCCAACTTTTGCCGTTATCTTTAACCTCCACTCGTTTACTCTCCGCCCTCTGCCTGGAACAAGCTCTCCACCTAAGCAAACAAAAGCCCCATCCCTTAATATCTTTACTCTCCGCATACTTCTGACATGCTTGCCATTTTCCCCATCTCCGCGCACCTCTCCCCACTTCTCTTCTATAATCTCCTCCCCTCCCCACTCTCACCAAAACATATCAATCAAATCATTCAAATACTCCACAACCTCAATATCCTTCCTCAGAACCTCTTTATTCAGCTTTCCTCCAAAGCACCTCGTGTCCCTATACAACCCCATTTGCTGTTCAATAAAACTCCGATCTTGCGAATTCTATTGTAATCATCAGCTTTGAATCCCTACTGTTATTTTCACCAGTTTTCTCCATCCCCATGAGCTCTCTCTCAAACGATCATGCAAACATCCCCGAAAAACGTCTTCCAAAAAAATTTAAACACAAGCAAAACCAAGGAAAAGCCAACCTACCCCCTCCCGACTAGCCCACAGCCCCTGTAACCACTCCAACCCCCCCTTAACCGCACTTCCACCACCCCACCTCCACTTCATCTGACGTTCCTGAATCTCATATAGAAACCACGTTGTTTCCTTCAGGAACTCATCAAAATCCTTCTTGACTTTCGTGCAATCAGTCTTTGTCTATTTATTCATTAGCAAAGATCCATCGAATATCTACGGACAGGGGAAGAAAACAGACCAATGTATTTCCGGGAGATGACAAGTCTAAGTCTGACATGAGAGGTTTTTCCAATTCGATTAGGAGGTCTGAGCAGAGGATACGGAGAGCTGCTGTTATGGTCTATTGAAAGGAATGTTAGTCAATACTTGCGTACTCGTTTCACCTTACTACATCATCCCTTTGTACAATATCTTTCCTGGTTCACCACATAGTCTTCATATTTTCCCAATTAGTAGTTTCCCCCTCATATCACAGCATTGCAATGTCGCACATGACACATACCCCTCGAACCAAAGCCACAGTAACCCAAGAAAAATCGAAAACACACTTATACTCACATCCTCAATCTCATCACTATCCTCACCACCCATAAAAACCTGCTCATTTCCTCCCCCCTCTCTCCGTCCCTCATTAAGTTCTAGTTCTCTTCTTCCTCCCGTGTCCTCCTCTCTTCCCACAAAATCGTCGCTCCCCGCAACACCCGACCACTCAATCCTCCCCCGACACTCCTTCGTAACTCCCGTAAGATTCCTCACACTTTCCAACGTGAGCCTCCCATAAACCCCCGAAATAAGATAATGAACTAGTAACCATGTCCCTGCAATGCTGAAAAGGAATAGTTGACGTGAAGTTGGCATGTTTGTAGATATACACCTAGTCATATATTATCATCATACGATTGAGTAGGTTGGGATGTGATGTATGGAGAGATCAAAACAAAGTTTCACAATTCACATATGGTAGTTTTAAAAATTGTGTCATTTATTAATGAGTAGGCTGCCTAAGAAGTTACACAACCTTATCCTACCTGATTATGTCTTAGCCGATTATTCTCCGAGTTGAAGTACAGATATCACAAAGATCATAACACAAACACAAAAGCAGGTAAATATGAATCTTTCTAATTAATTGACTTTGGTATCAATGCCTAATGCAAATAAGCAGCTGCTTTGATCCAGCCAACCAACTAGCGCAGACGTCCACTGCCACCATTTTTGGGCCCAATGAAGCCATCCAATAACGACCATCGTCTGCTCGTACACCCGTAACCTTCTAACCAGCTATATGCTTCATCTTGATCATCTCACTTACAACCCGCAACACAACTCCCACGCCTTCATCAAAAAAGACATGGCAGACCGCAAGCCGTGCGACATCATCAGTTGCTGGCATAAAACCAACCACATCCCGAACGGTCTTGCGTCGTCGCTATTAAAACAGGATTTAAAATAAAGTTCAAGTAATAAAAGAAATAGTCTTGATCGATGCTGTCCCCTAGAACACGGGAGGAAGGGAAATAAAGAAGGTACAGTGAAGCAGAGGTTAAGTGAGCAACCCGTGCAATGCTCCAATACTACCATATCCCTTGACACCCTTTCAAAGGAAAAACAATGGTTCTATAGCAAAAATAGGTTGCAAAACCGAAAGTGACTTTGCAAGAAGATGTTGGTATTGGAAAAAAAAAACCTCCGTAATTTTCGGATTGAACGCCATGCTGAATAAAGGAGAAGCCGCAGTCAATCGTATAATGGGACCACAGTTGGGTATTCCGGAATTAGATGAGGCCGCATAAGCGGAGGTTCTCTTGTATGATGATATCTAGAATGAATTAGAAATGGTAGGGGATCCTTGTGAGCTCTAGAACTTACCATTGACAGCTGCCATGACGAATCTAATCTGGGTGGTATCGGTAGCACAAGTGAAATGGGTGTAGATCTGTTTCGTCTCGTGCTGGTTCAGACTAACAAATCTGTTGAGAATGTAATCACAGGCCAGTGCATAGTCATCACCACCTTCATAATCCGGAAAGTAGTTTTTCATCGGACTGACAGGAAGCTTCTCCTTAAACCTATCAATCTTGTTCAAGAACAAGATGATTGAAGTCTTGATAAACCATCTCGAATTGCAGATGGAATCGAATAAGGTGAGTGCCTCTTGCATACGATTGACAGTTTCATCTTCAAAAAGCAATTGATCATACTCGGAGATGGCAACCAAGAATAGGATTGTGGTGACGTTTTCAAAGCAATGGATCCACTTCTTTCTTTCCGAACGTTGCCCTCCGACATCAAACATCCGGTAAGTCAGATCGCCGATAATAAAGGTGGTCTCGGTAATACCAGTAGTCTTCACACGAGAGCGAAGGACATCTTGGTCGTTTGGCATATAGTCGTGTTGAGCGATTCTCTCGATGTTATCAAAGTAACTAGATAAAGGGTGTTAGGAACATCTTTGTTGATAACAGGACCAGAATGTTATCCGGGATTCATTCATTAACAAATACTTACTATCTAGCAGAATCATTCAACTGATATTCTCTGGATCGCTTGAAACAATCCTGTACACCAGCATCCTTCCATAAAGCTGCAATGGCACTACCAACCTCGGGGGGTAAGTTGTCCCCTTCAATCTGTTGAGGCTGCATGAAGATAGTTTGAACGTGGTATTCAGCTCTTTGGTCATCCAAAGGCAGCTCAAGTGACTCCATAGCTTCAAGGATAACACGCATAGACTGAACGGTGTTGCTAAAGATGATTTCCTTGAATGATTCTCTTTCATCGCGAGAGTAACCTCCCTCATGAATAAGCTTCATCTGTTTCAAGATAGTCGACTTTCCGGATTCACCAGCTCCTATATAACTGTTAGGCTGACCGACCGATAATAATCGCGACAAGTAATACAGGTGATGAGGGACAATTGTTACTAACCAAGTAGAAGCATCTTAATTTCATTTCTTTGCAACATCTTATCTCTCTTCAGTTGATTCTCGATCTCCTCATTCCTCGCCTTTCCCTCCTTCTCCTCTGTACTCATTCCACAACCCATCTTGAATGATTATTGTGATTTTTATTATTAAGGTCGTTAAAAGGTCGTGAACGCAAGTGTAATATAGAGTGTGATATATCGCAGAACCGGCCGCAAGATAGAGTGCGGTCTGTAGAAAATAAGTGGTTAGCGGAATTGGGCAATGAGTAGCCTGCGGCTGAATAATTGAGATATTGCTGATAGTAAGCAAAAAAAGACAATCGGCATCAGGATATTGAAGCAGAATTAACTATAGTAGGTGAATAGGGGAGGGAGTTGAATGCGATGTGAAGTATCTTTCCAAGGTTGATGGATTTAGTATTCGAAGATGTATATGAGTCTGTGTATGAGTCGGAGTTGTTGATGGTTAAAGTTGTGTCGTGATCGATCTATCGTCGGTCTTGCCGATGATTTGTGTAGATGGATGAAATTCCATTCCATTATTCTCAATGCAAAGGTAAAATGAGAAGAAACAAAGGATTGGTGTTTACTTACCAATTAATCAATTAACTCCTTCAATCCAAATCAACAAATTATTCTTGAGGTCTTGATAATCCAAATATGTAGACACAAATCTTGACTTGACTCGACTTGACTTGACTTGACTTGAATTGAATTATTTGGATCTTGATGGTTTGGTCGGAAGGGAAAATGGTTGGATGGATGGATGGTTAGACGGAGAAAGAGTCTTGTTGATTTCCTTCTGGGTTGCTTGTATATGAATAATCAATTAGAATCAAAAGAGGAAGGGGCTAAGATTGAAATTATCGGCTGCCTTTACGCTAGTGTATCCCGATTAGGGAGGGGGGATGTATAGATAGTGGGTCCAGGTACTCTTATTTGATGAATAAGAGGGATAATGAAGAGATAGATAATAGATAATAGATAATAGATAATAGATATATAATATAATTGAACCGATTTACAGCTCCGTAGTATCTACCTTGACTGGGTATAGTTTGACTTGATGAATTAAGAAACCATTGATAGGTTCGGTGTTGTCTAGCATTCACTTATATAATTTATTCACTTTGATCTCGTCGTCAAAGGTTTGTTAGATATCTAGACATATTATACTTCTTAATGAACAAACTAAGACTAATCAGGTAATCAGGTGTATTACCAGGGGTTTTAGTAATTTAATTAAATTAATCGAGCCATAAAAATTATCCGGGTAAAGGATAATTAAGAAAAAGCAACCAATGATGATCAATGTCTCATTATAAACCCAACCATCTTTCCTTTGTTCTCTTGAAGAAAATCAAAGCCTCGGTACTTCTTAACGGATATCGATTTAATACATTTACATTCTCATTTTAGCATTTTAGTATTTTCCCCTCACAATTAATACAATTGCTTCTTATTATTCCATATCCCGCTTCCATCCATTTGCTGATAATTCCAAACTCCCCCATTTTTGCTGCATAAGCTTCATCAATAGCAACAGCCAGGTATGCTATATATACATGCCTCTCATAATTTAAGTCAGTTGATATTCCTCTCACATCATTGCTTGCCCCATGCATTAGGTGGTGGCCCTTAGTGGGTCACAGATAGCCGCCAAAAAGGGGTTCATTTGCAGGAAATTCCTTCCAATTTCCTTCTAGAAGCCAGCCTTGAAATTTCCATGTCTATTTATCTATTAATCCTTGGTGATAATTATTGATATTTGTGGCTTATGTACCGGCGGATATATGAACCTAAGTCTGTGCACATATACATATATGGTAGTTTAACAATTCTGACCAAGAGGCAAGCAATAAAGGTTCGAAAAGCTCAAGATCACGCACAAATTACGAAACAACAATCATAGCTTTCAAGTTTGGTAACACCGACTCAGATGTCGAAACCTTTCGTATGAAATTTAAAACTGGGTTCATCTAAAATAGAATGTATGTTTATCGATGCTTGCGTGGTGGTACAAGCTGGATCGCATTTCATGTTCAAGCTGAATCATGTACAAGGGCAGTCCAAGCAGGGCAGTCCAAGCATGACTTTCTTTCCTCAGCCCTGCAGTAATTGGAGTGTTTTGACAATCCTTTCATCCGGTGTGTTGTGACAAATACTTGTTGTCAATGTTACTCAAGTCTATGCTCAACTGTCATTCTGCCATGTCCTAGTGTGAATCATATTATGCAAAGTCGCTGATAAAGGGGTTGCAACCTTGTTGTCTTGAGGAGCATTTTCATCTGTTCTACTCTTCCGAAAGATTTGAACCCCTACCCGTTATACACATAAGCACTCAAATCGATAACGGATTACTTCAATTGCTCTACTTCGTATTGTGTACGCCTAGATATATCGTCATCCAACCTTACCTAAGCTGAGTAGTTCTATGCTCTTGCCAGAATTAAGGCCCAGCCTTCCTCAGGCCTTGCGGCAAAAGTTCGGAGCGCATGCCTGAACAACCTCGACATGATATTACAGATATACCTACTGATTCAACTTTGATCTGAGTAGTTGAGTAACTCACCAGTCAGGGGAGATGCAGCTGACCAACGTTGGCCACTATTTAGGTGATATGTTCTTGCTTGAGAAGTACTCGACACAGTAGACCATTTGACAAACAGAGCTTGTGAATTAAATCAATCAAACGAGGAAAGACCAACCCACAATCTTCATATATCCTCCAAACAATGTTCCTTTCATACACAACGAGCCAAGCATGCTGAATGTTCTAGGAGCTATTTTTATTCCCGTTGTTTAACCCAAGTTTATTATTTCCTTACCTAAATTGTCACGTTTGAGAAAATACATCATCAGATTCTAAGCAAGTCGAAGCAAGTCGAAGCAACACCCTAGGCATCACTTAACACCTAGCCCTCTATAGCAGCAAAACATCCAATATGTCATATACGCACCGACAGCGACCCTATAATCCTCGCCGCCACGCCCAACCTATTGCATACCGCTCTCCATTATCCTCTCAGCCTGCAGCCAATGTATTGAGCCGACCACATGCCATGCATCCCAACCTCCAAAAGCTAAGAATCGACCCACCCGTTCTCCTACTACTCACCCTCTGTATTGTCGCCTTACTCCTTTGGCTCTCATACGGCATCTACCATTCTGTCAAATGGTACATCCATAGATTACGAACTGTCAGATATGGCTTGGAAGAAATGCCAAATCCCGACATTAATATGGCTAAAATTGATGGACGACCATATTCGAGCGAGAAGAAGGGGATGATAAAATTCGGGCAGGCAGTGAGATGGTTGCACCTTACACCGACAAAGGAGGGATATGTCAAGTTGGAACACGCTTGGAATGGCAACCAAGATCTATCACGACACCAGAGTGTATCGAGTGGAAATGCATTGATGATGCGGGGAGACGATTGCAAGAGAGTTCAAGGCTTCGGCTGTAGAAGGACGAGCGCTGTTTGAAAAGGACGAAAGAACTTTGTACCGGGACATCATGGAGTGCTGACTTCGGCAATATTTTGGGGGGGAGCGTGATACTGTTACTTGCCCATCGGAAATTGACCAACATTGAAGATATGTTCGGACTTCAGTAGCCTAGTGGAAGGAGTTACAACACTTGTCGATGGCTGCTGTCCTTGGAATCATCGAAATGGAAAGAGCACACAACCGAGCTCCGCATGGTCTTCGGGTCTGGCTCCCAATGCTTCACATATCTAGCGTTGGAAAAGGCTCCTTGAAGCGGCGCAAATACTGGAAGTCTAGAACGAAGTTGAATCAATAAATAGAAACAATTTGAAACATAAATTAACCCAATTTTTAGCTCTGAATTTCAGCAAACGAATGCTTGGAGCGAGTAAAGATAACCACACAAGTGCACTTTGACAAGCCGAGACTGGAGACGTTCCGAGGAACATGACGGAAGTGCGAGTTCAGCATTAATTTGAAGATTGCCATGATATCTTCATATAATCATACATACTCACAAGTGCTTAAACTTCCGATCCACGTTTATGTACTCCAGGACAACTTCCCCTTCAAAGCCATTACCTCACTCAAGGTCTCTGCACTCTAATACCATCCTTTCCCACCCTTCTAAATGAGTTGTTGCACTCCTCATATGCTCTTCCGGCACCGAACCCAACACCAACGAATGCAGGCCATGCTCTTCGCTTGAATATCAAAACCGAGGCGACAACACCGAATCCGAGTCCGACTGAGGATCGTATGAGCATCGAGGAAAGACAATGGTCCCACTAAACAAATATTGAAATCAGCGCTATGTTCTCTAATGAACCAAAAGTAGTTGGTCACCGAGTTAGTAACAAAGTAGAATTTACCTTTTCGTTAAGCAGAGCTTCCGAAACAGGTTTGCTTGGGCGTATAACAGCCGGAGGAGAAATTGATGTTTCTGGCATGATGGCTTATGTATTACTAGAAGAAAATGTCAGTGTTATCCGTCTCCAACAAAAGATCAATTGGCATACCGCGATGTGAGGAATTGGCGTACGATTGAGAAGCTATGAGCTGTGTTGTAAATTTATTTTGATGTCCCGGGGTTCCATCCACTTTGGCATGTTGATTGGATGGGAAGGGAAGGCGGTGAACGAATCTCAAGTGGCATAATTCGAAAAATAAAATATTATCCCGCGAAAATATCCAGCCCTTTTGCGACAATTTGATCGCTGCTCAACATCGACAACACAGTAATCCGCGGCAATGGATATTTTAAGATTACTTTCCCGGTCAACAAAGCAAACTGGTCAAAATGGATCGCAGAAAGTAGGAGGTGTCGCTTCGAAATTACCTTCTAGTGGAATATCTGCGAATCCTCAATTGTACCACGATCCTATTCCCGAATCGAGGGGCAAGAAAAGAAAGAGAGGAGGGCAGTCTAAGGATCTTAATACGACGGAACAAGGAGATAAAGACCTCGACTTCTTCTCCTCTGAACCTGCAACACAGAAATCCAAGAAAAACGCTTCCACAAACGATGCGCCAAAGCCTGCGCAATCAAATCCGTCTTCAGAACCGGAGCCACTTCTAGATGAGGGAGAATGTCGACAGATTTTGAAATCGCATCGATTGAAGGTCACCCTTCTACCAGGTCCAAAACCGCAAAAGAAGATCAAGAAGTCGAAAAAGTCCAAGTCCAGTGCTAAGGCTACAAGTTTGAAGGAGGAGATCAAGCAGTTATACCCACAACCGTTGATGGCATTTGAGGATCTACGAGCTACATACAAGATATCGGGCAGGTTATCAGAGAATCTGAATGATCAAGGATACAAAATTCCCACGGAAGTTCAAATGGGGAGTTTACCATTACTTTTGAAGCCTTCAGTTGCATTAAGTGGTTCCCCGATAGACACCGACGAGTTATCGAGTACTCTGGATTTACTAGCTGTTGCTCCTACTGGAAGTGGAAAGACCCTGGCTTTCTTGATACCAGTTATCAATGAAATAGTACAACGACGCAGAACTTCTGACAAGAATCATGATCTGGAAGCTGTGATATTAGCACCTACGAAAGAGCTCGCAAGTCAGATTGTTAATGAGGGGAAGAAGCTTAGCGTTGGGACAGGAGTCAAGATTCTGGGAATGAAGAAAGGGATGACGATAGTACCAAGTGCAGACACCAAGGAAAAGGAGCAGCCAGACAACGATGAAGACGATAACGGATCTGTTGATAAAACTACTTCAGCTAGCCAGCCACTTACAAAGACAGATATACTGGTTACAACACCTTTGATCTTCCTTCACGCATTATCCTTAGGATCTTCAGATAATCATGCTCCATTGCCGACCGTCCGTACATTGGTTTTTGATGAAGCAGATGTTCTGCTAGACCCACTGTTCAGAGATCAGACATTAGGCATATGGAACTCGTGTATCAATCCAGATCTACGAGTCACTCTTTGGTCCGCAACAATGGGCTCAAATATTGAAACACTTGCCTCGGCCACCATTCAAGCCAGACAAGAAAGATTAGGTCTTGAAAAAAGCTCAAATCTTGTTCGTCTCGTGGTTGGACTAAAGGATTCTGCCATTCCCAATATCACGCATCGTCTAATTTATACTGCAACGGAGCCCGGTAAACTAATTGCTCTTCGACAATTGCTTCGACCCACGGCAAAAACTACAGATGGAGCAGAATCTTTACGGCCACCATTTCTCGTATTTACACAAACGATACCTCGATCCATCGCATTACATGCTGAGCTCCTGTATGATATCCCTGCCGAAGCAGGCGGCTCTACCAGAATCGCAGTACTGCATTCGGATCTTTCTGACTCGGTTCGAGACCAAGTCATGACACGATTTCGTAATGGTGAGATCTGGATTTTGATCACCACTGACATTTTGTCACGAGGTGTCGATTTTAAAGGCATCAATGGTGTAGTCAATTATGATGTTCCAAATTCTGGAGCAGCTTATATTCATCGTGTAGGACGTACTGGACGAGCTGGCCGCGACGGCGGTATTGCGGTAACTTTCTACACGAAAGAGGATATTCCCTACGTCAAGAATGTTGCAAACATTATCGCGGCATCTGAAAAACAAGCCGGGAAACCAGCAAGCGAAGCTAGCATGCAAAAATGGCTGTTAGATGCACTACCAACGCCTAGCAAGGATGAAAAGAAAAAACTGAAGAAATATGGTGTTGAGGCAAGAAGGGGAGGTTTAGGTCGTGGCAAAGATGGAAAGGACTCGAAGGGAGAGAAGTCGAAGTCGAGGATGCAGATCAGTACGAAGAGTGGATATGAGAGGAAATTGGAGAATAATAGAAAGGGAGCTATTCAAGGGAGTAAGAGACGAAAGCAAGAAAACGTTGGAGGAGATGGGGAAAAGGTGGAGGATGATGGATGGGACGGCATTGATGATTGAACGAGTAGTTAATGAGCGAGTAGTTTGGCTAGTTGAATACCCAATGAAATTATTAGCAACAGGGTTCATTTAGTGTGAACTCATCGGCGTTGACAAATTCAAATACGGACTCATGTCATCATCCTATCTCGCGGACATTTTTGACAAGTGCAATCTTCAACTGCGATGAGTCATGTTCAACTCAAAATGACACTCTTACAACCTAACATCAAAACTATTATAGAAACACGCAATGCATTCACAACTACAACAGGAATCACACACCCACCCTCGGACCTCACATCTTACTCGGCATTCTCATTCCCCCATCCAATCTCAACACCACCCCATTCAACATCACATTCTCAATACTTTGCCTCACCAACTGTGCAAATTCATGAGGTTTGCCTGGTCGAACTATATATTTGGCATACAGTTAGCCAGCTCGTTTCAGCAAGATGAGTATATGAAATATGAATGGAGGGAATATGAATATAGAGAGAGAAAAAAACTTACGCGGAAACTCCATAACCCTTGTCAAGCTCGCCCGCACTTTATCACTCATCATAGCCGTCATCCTCGAATCAAAAAGACTGGGTGCTATAGTTACGACTCTGATACCGTGACGGGCTATATCGCGTGTTAGGGGAAGGGTTAGCGATGCTATTGCGCCTTTGGAAGCGGCATATGCGACTTTTTGGATTTGTGTTAGCGTTTCGAAAGTCACGTACGGGTAGAATCTAAAAAGAAGTTCAGACGGAGAATGGAATAAAAATACCTTGGCCAGGCTGTCCATCAAAAGCAGCAGACGAAGCAACCATAATGATAACCCCCCTTTCGCCATCTTCGTTAAGAGGAGTGGAGCGAGCCATGTGAGGGAGACATTGGCGGATTAGATCGATGGTGCCGCGGACATTGACGTTCATTACGAAATCGAAATCGGAGAGGGAGAAGGGTTCGAGGTTGCGGTCGAGGATCTTTTGGAGAGGGGGTTGGTGTCAGTGTGTGGGACTGGGACTGGGAGGCAGGATGGGAGAGATGTGGTTTTGGGGGAGACATCGGGATTAATGTTGACTCGAGAAGAATCTGGGAGGGCTTATGAATATCCCTTGCGAGATTGGTGTGACCGATCTGAGAGTACCCCGCCCGAGAGACTTTTCATGGCTGGAGAAGTATTGAGGCAACAACACTTTAAAGAGACTTCCTCTTCTACTTCTATAGAAAATTGTATAGACAAGCAAGAGATTCAAAACACACCTTAGCAGGTGTAGATACCCCAGCAGCGGCAATAACTCCACCAACCTCCTTTCCAGTTTCCTTCACCCATTCCAGAGCACCTTTAACAGCATTGGTGATACTATCCGTCTCCAGAACATTGGCCTCAAAGAATTTAATCTTTCCACCTCCTACTTCTTTGACCAGTTCTTCAGCCAATTCTTCATTCATATCTAAAACAGCGGCATATCCTCCAGCTTGACAGATATCAATAACGCATGCTCGGCCTAGGCCTGAAGCTCTATGTATCTTGTTAGTGAAATCTAATTTATGACTGTATACTCTCAGGTTACTTACCCGCCTGATATAATAAAGGTTCTACCTTCAATCTTCATCCTTGAATGATAAATATCAAAGTAGATGTATCAAAAAATTACATTGATAAACATTCACGAAATCATTCCTCTCTCTTCATCACATGCCTCGGCTTTGTGAATCCATTTAAGCTCCATGCCAAATAACTTAGCGTCGGTGAATGATTGGCTCAACTCCGATGCGATAAGACTTGCGATAACTTTGATGTAACGTCTTATTTCGGGTCTCATTAATGAAGAAGATTAGAATTTCGGATTCCTTGTTAACATCTTTAAGACTTTTCGACTTTCTGGGCCTCAAATACGAAGAAATATCAAGCCGTTATTGTATTTCCCGTCATAGGCGAAGATGGTGCGACCCAGGCGGTCATCTGCTGCGAGTGATGAGAGCGCCAGTACTACCAGAGATCAGGTTTGTTTCCCATCCACCCTTCATTGTTTAACAAACATGCAGATATACAAAACGAGAAACAAAATGAAAGACATTATCATACCCATACTAATGGATCTTCAGGAACTAGGTAGTATGTACGATTATTTGGCTAAGATTATACTCTTAGGACCAAGTGGAAGCGGCAAGTATGTTCCACTTTCTGTTTGTCCTTGATGAGTGGGATGTTCACGGTTGGGATTATATATTGATGTCGCACAGATCATGTCTATTACATCGCTTTGTCAAAAACGAATGGAGGATTTTGACCTCCCAGACCATCGGCGTAGAATTCGCAAGCAAGATTATAAGAGTGGGCAGTGGCAGCCGACGGAAGCGCATTAAGCTCCAGGTATTTCATTTCTGTCTTATCCCTCCCTCCCACTTCAAAGCTAATGATACAAAAGCTATGGGATACAGCAGGCACTGAACGATTCCGCTCCGTATCACGCTCCTACTATCGTGGCGCCGCAGGCGCAGTCCTATGTTACGATATTACAAACCATAATTCCTTTACTGGACTCCCTACTTTCCTCAATGATGCGCGAGCGCTGGCCTCCCCAAATCTTACACTACTACTTGTGGGCAACAAGACGGATCTCGCAGAATCGAATGCGGATTTAATAGATACATCTGTTCCACCCGCCACACCATCTAGTATTAGCAGCAAGAACTCCTCATTCCCATTTTCAGCCGGGGAATCTGTGAATTCGAATTCGGGGTACACAGGAATAGGGTCACAGTTGAAAGCAAGTGTAGCGCCCGACGGACGAGATGTTAGTGCAGAAGAAGCATCGAGATGGGCCAGTTCTGCAAATATACCAGTTTCAGTGGAGGTATCTGCGTTATCTGGAGAGAATGTCGAGGAGGTTTTTAATCGATTGGCGAGGATGATATTAACAAAGATAGAGTTGGGGGAGATTGATCCGGATGATCCGATGAGTGGGATACAGTATGGGGATGGAGGGAGATGGGATACGAACGCTAGTGATGGGGCGAGTGTGAAGAGTGGAATGACGATTGAGGATGGGAGTGCGAGGAGGAGGAGAAAGGGGAAGAGGGGGCAGAATTGGGGACTTGGCGGGATGAGGGAGTGGGAGGAGGTTTTCACGTTGACGGGGCAGAGGAGGAGAAAGGGTGGTTGTTGTTGATGGAGGGGGGAGGGAGAAGTGATGAGAGCTTGTGAATGATATCCCGAGAAGTTCTTTGACGAATGGAGCTGAGCTCCATAATGCTCTGGCTCGAATTTAGACCAGGGCTTGTGAATACTATGATTAATCGTAATGATAATAATACCCGTTCTTTCAGTTCATTACTTTCGAGTCACTCGCTTTCAAGTATGTGTTGCGGGCAGTGTGCTCGGAATCAACCGATGATGTGGACAGGGACGCCTTTCACTTGCCTTCTGGTGCTATGATGGCATGATATAAAAAGACATTGTCAACATCAATCAGGGGGAAACCTTATGTATGTATGAAAGTGTATCTTAAATAAATCTTTGTTATATCCAAAATATACATATGATATACTTCCTCAGTTATTTCGAACTCCAGCTCACTTGCTCCCTCTCATAACACTTCCCCTCCAATCACCCCCAAGTCTCTCTACCACCTCCTTTCAGCCCTAGCATCATATTAATTCTTCAGTTCTTCGTCCCATAAATCTCTCAAGTTTTCGCCCATACCATTAAATTCTAGATATGATATACTTGCTGACCTCGCTCTCCTCGCTCACCCCGCATCAAAATCTCATTTCAACCCCGATACCCCTCACACAAATACTCCCATCCCAATCCTAACCTATACTATACCAGAAACCCCTTCATCAAATCTTGTGCCACCATTTACCGATTTCTTTTGGCACATCTTCCCAAAAATAACATCTTCTAGACTTGGGAACTTCTAAAGTATATCTTATCCAGCATCAAACCTAGGTACCCCTCCAATTAGCCCCCTTTTCGCCTCACTCAACAGTCCCAATCATCGACCAAATGTTGCACATCTCTCATTTCAAATCTAAAAATATAAAGCCGGAAGTGTGAAAGGTAAGTAGATTCTAGATAGGGTAGAGGAATCTTCAAGGTTCCAGGCATCAATTACGTCCTACTCAGAACCTTGTCGAATCTATCTCTCATGCCTAAAATCCATCTACCGAGTCTGGAAGTGACTTCAAGGATATCTAAATTTTGCATATCGTCCCCATCGCATATAAAAATACGATATATATTTTTAACGTAGTACACCCTTACTAAGCTCGATTTTGACCTCAACACTAGGTATCCTCATCCCTCAACCCAAAACAAACCTCCTGATACCTTTCATCAGCCAAATGGTGCACCTCTTCTTCTTCTTGGCATCTATAAATACCATCGGTAATCTTACTAGTTATCCAGAATCTAACCCCGCCACGTTATACTCGAGTACTGACCCGAATATATGTAAATGTTGCATATCTCCTCTCTTCATCTAAAAATACCATATCCCAAAATCAATATATCTATATACTTTTCCGAGGAAAGTAATGGCCGCTTATTCAGTCATTCCTCTTTTTATTAGGCATTCATTCAAAGCGCATATAATCGCCTAATGCCACGTGCTGGTACTATACTGTATCCGCTAAAGGAAGCGAAAGGAAGCGAGGGAGGAAGTCGGAATGGGGCGGCTGGCGCTTAGATGGCATTTTGGAGTTACACCATGATATGATGTATATATAGGTATCTAATTATATCTGTATGTATCTGCTAAGTATGTTTATGAGTAGAGGGCGGTCTTAATATTGATATTGGAGAAAATATGAATGTGTATGTGGAGAGAGAGGGGATACTGTGGTTCTAGAATATGTGATGAGGAAATTTACCGAATTACCCCTTTCCAAAGTCTACTTAATCTTACTGTACTTCTCCATGCTCAAACCATTGTGTTATATCACATCCGTCATACCACGAAGAAGTGACACATAGTACTTAGCTCGAAAAAACGCATTGGGGATCGTATCGATGTTCTCTAGATAAAATCTCTACTAATAATCTATCTGAAGGTTTCGTTTTATTGAATTGACTCGTTCGTCTAATTCTCATTGAATACTATTATTGTATTCCTTGGAAGAAAGTAATTTGTCGCGGTGAAATCTGCTATATTCGATAATAGCAATTCTTCTTACGATATTGATACTATAGCTAGCTGTCTTTTTGCCTTTGGTAGGAAATGAAAACTTCCGTCAAAATGGGTTTAGAATATCAGATAGACGGAATTCATGACTGAAATATCTGAATGATTACAGTGATTATTTTATATCTTGTTTGATATTCTCAGACAAAATTATGAACATCGACCCACGAACAATTCATCATCTTTGATACTTTTAACTTTCACCATCATAACACAATCAATCGATCAACTCACTCACAAAAGATATCTAACTGCACCATGCCTTCCCAAATTCCCAAGATAGTTTGAAATGAGAAGGAAGCTGAACAATGCTATTAGGTGTTTGCTACAACAATGAACCAGCTCATTCATTACCAAGGTAATTTCACAGTTTTCTTCGTCCTCTCTCTCATTCTCTGATAGAAAACAAAAACATCAATCTATTGTTCTATTGTATCATCCATTCATCCATTTAAAAAGTGGACTTGAACAGTTCTATTCAAACACAGAACAACTCCCTCCAAAATCCCCCATGTATTTACAAATCCCCCTTGAATTCCTCCCAAAACGTAAATCTCCCACTATCACCCATCAAACCATCCACCCATCATCCATCCATCACCCCCTCCCCCGCCCAAACACTCCCCGAAACACTCCCCCAAACCACCCAAACCATGCGCTTCTCCTACGTCTGCGCCGAACTAAACGACAACGCATCCACGAGCGACGTCGGCTTTAGTAAAATCTGCAAGCAATGTTGTCAACACAAACGTTGTTGTAAATGTTACTTATACAGTGTTTTTGGAAAGATGACGTATCATTTGACAGGTAGGTATTTGTAAATTAGGTATTTGTTGGTTTTAAATTGAGAGAGAGAGAGGGAGGAGGGGAAAAAATGCAAGGAAGGAAGAAAGAGAGAAGTGCTATAATAGAGCCTGTGTACTTTTGAATGTAAGTTGCGGGATTTTTAATAAAGTAGAGATACAAATTGAAGATTAAATTAGCAGAAAAACTAAGAAAATACGAAAATGTGAAATATATGTATAATGCGTTGTGAAGAGAAAAACAACCACTAGATCCAAAGAAAAGAAAGACTTTGAAACCCTTAGCAAATCTCGCCATGCACGTGACCAAATCCTATCTTCCTTACACCTTCCCTTTACATTCAATCTCAACAACCGTATTCCCTACACCAACAAAGCAAAGATATAAAAACTAAAAACTAAAAACTAAAAACTACTCTTTGTAAGTCAATTTTCTTGGTAATCGTACCTATACCGGTACGAGTAATGTCCCGAAATCTTCAGCTTTTGCTTCCCCCTCAATCTTGGGGCCCGAAAGAAGCTACATAAGCTAAACAAGCTAAATTCAGGAAAGAAGTCCGTTCTATAAAGGCTATGTATGTATGGCTTCAGCCCTATAGGTATAGTGATTGCTAGTTGGCTTAAAAAGACAATACCGGTATCTTTTGGAAAGACTTGAGAACGCATGTTTTCTTGCTATGACTACCGACTACCGAGTATGTACTGTAGATATCATTGAACATACTCGTAGAGTGGAACAATGATAGATATAATGGAGAAGTCTTCTTGAAAATTCCTTACCGGTACATCTTGATTTCAGTCATGCATGACATATGATCATGAATACTCGAAATCCTATATTAGCACCACCACCAAATTATTCCAACATCTCAACATCTTTAAATTTCTTATCCAGAGAAAATCACGTACAAGATACTAACCAAAATCCCCCCAGCTCCCCCCCCCCCCTTTCTTTCGCCTTTCGCCTTTCGCCTATCAAAATGTCTACATCTACCGACCCCGATTTTCAACTCTTTACCTCTCTCCGCTACGATCCCATCCTGCTGCAATCCCCCCGAAACATTCAATCTTGGCCCTCATCCCCCTCATCCCCTTCCTCCTCTCCCTTCCCATGTCCCTTCTACATGCTACCCCACCACCGCGATCGACTCCTCAGCGCCGCCATCCACTTCAACTGGCCCAAAGCCATATCCGTCATCTCCGGCCCCACCGGATTCCAAAACCTCCTCGACATCCTCACCCAAAACATCGATATCCGCTCCCCCACCCCATTACGCGTACGCGTTGTTCTCGACCACCAAGGAACCCTCACCATAGAATCCAACGCCACCCCCCCCGTCTCCCTCTCCAATCTCTTCCCCGGCCGTCTCCCACCCCCATCATCCTCCCCCCTTCCCCCACCCCCTCAAGTATCTCCCCTAACAGGCGGCCTCCTCAGCCTCTCCCCAACCGCCACCCTCCCCAGCGACCCCACACTCACCCTCCCCCCCTGGCCCCTCATCCCCGACTCCACACCTACCTCCCCCTCCCCCTACACCACCTTCAAAACCACCACTCGCACCCCCTACAACCTTGCTCGCTTACGTGCCCACATCCATCATCTAAGCGACACCCGCGAGGTTCTCCTCTCCACTCCTTCGCGCAAAATCATGGAGGGAAGCCTCACCACGCCCTTTTTTTATCGCGGTGGGAAATGGGTTACGCCTGCTGCGAGGAGCGGGGGACAGCTGGGGACTACTAGACGTTGGGGTTTGGAAATGGGGTGAGTTTTTCTTTTTTCTCTTTTTCTTGCTTTTGTTTACTTTGAATCTTGGTTTCTTAGTGTGTTATCGGAGAGGAGAGGAGAAACATCAATAGGTATACTGTAGTAGTACAAACAACTACTAATAAACACAATCCAGAATTTGCGAAGAAGGAATCATAACCCTAGATTCCCTAACGGAAGGAGAAGAATGTTGGATCAGTAATGGTGTGAGGGGGTTCACTTGGGGTAAGATACAGCTTTCGCCTTGATTAAGTCTGGATCTACAAGTACAACGTACATATTATTGCAGCGAGATTGAAAGCATGGTAGATGAGAATTAAATCTATAGTTTCACCATTTTCCGCTTCACGATATACAATTATCATACCACTACTACATCCACTTACAGGAAGGATAGATATAAAACACAATAAACGCTAAGAGAGTGACACGACCTCAAAATAAAAAAACACCCGCTATAGCTATAGGTCCTGCCCCCCAAAAGATAACTACATTTATTAGACTAGACGAACCCCTTCCATTTTTTTCCACTTAGGCCGAATATTCAAAGAGAGAAATATCAAATATTCGCTGCGCCAAGTAATCATTTCATGCTTGCAGTCAGGGAATCTCGCATAGCACACTTGACATCCAATCGATCTTTCGTCTTCATCCAAGCCTAAAGTTGAACCCCTCACTCCCCCAGAAATCAACATTGATGATACCAAAAACCTCTATGATCGCATAACATCCAAACCACCTTGCAAATCTTGTTCCAGATCATTTGGTCCCTGTCCGTATGCTTCTTGTGGCCTTGGGTCCTCAGCGCGCCAGCTTGCCTGCTCCTGTGGTATGGGTAACTGAGGGCCGGTGCTTTGGCCCTGTTGACCAGGTTGAATACGGACATGTTGTCTAAATCTGTGAACTTCTTCTAAGATCAACTTTCTGATGTCGCCTACATCTTCCACAACCTCAAAATCGAAGTTGAATGTGGTTGGACATCCAGGCTCATCCGAAGCATCGTGCCAAATGTGAAGGTATGGATGTTCGAGGGCGGTCTCGACATCGATACGAGAGGAAGGGTCAAATGCTAACATATGATCAAGGAGGTCGAGGGCATCGGGATTGGCGTTAGGAAATAAGGTTGGGAAAGGTCGCTTAGCCATATACGGGAGATTTCGGACGTATTCTTGTGCTCGTGGAGATCCAATTCGTGATAATGTCTCTTCATTCGGTGTACCAAGAATATGCAAGATTTGGTTGAGTTGATCGACATAATCTCTACCCTTGAAGAATGGACGTCCGCCGAGCAATTCTGCGAGGATACATCCTACTGACCATACATCAACTAATTTTTGTTAGCGATCGTTTCCCTTTTCCAGACCATCATTGTACAACTTACTGGCTTTTGTATAACTCTGGAAGCTCAACATAATCTCAGGGGCACGATACCATCTTGTAGCAACATATTCCGTCATGTATCCTGCATTCTCTTCAGGGTCGACGGAGAAACCTCTTGCAAGACCAAAATCACAAATCTTCAATTCGCAGTCGGCATTGACCAGTAAATTACCGGGCTTCAAATCACGATGAAGGACATTCGCAGAATGGATATATTTTAGACCGCAAAGGATTTGGTAAATGAAAGATTGGAAATGTGCATCAGTGAGAGGTTGACCGGATCGTACGATGGCAGCAAGATCACACTCCATAAGCTCTGCGAATAAGATATTATTAGCAGGGAGTTACAAGTTTGAGACGAAGAGGACGTATGTCACCTTCATAGAGATATGTCTCATTGAAATTGTCGGGTCGAGGAATGTCCATATCATAAAGACAAGTAATCTATCCGGGTCAGAACTACCCCACCACTATTATCATGAATATAAGAGTCGCATACGTTACGATGACCTCTGAAATGTTGTAGCAACTTTATCTCACGCAGCGCACGTTTTGCCAAAATCTTCTTACTGAAGACATTTGTAACCTTCTTAATCGCGACTCCTTCTTGTGTTTGGGAATTGGTAGCAGCACTGCGATAAAGAACAATATTAGCTAAAGGTTCATGATACGAATGTGCGCATATGCAGGCAGGGTTGAAAAGAAAGTAACATCGTACCAGACAATACCATAAGCTCCCTGACCAAGCTCTTTGGTTACTGTGTATCTTTCATCGACAATAAAGTCTTGGTTGAAGACCTTGAACACCTTTCTTCCTTGGAGGTCTGCCATGTTTGACGGAGCTTTTGATGAATTGAACTGAATGTATTTTCAATTATGCATCAAAGAACGAATATAAGTAAGAGGAGGTTTTGTAAAACGTGAAGTTTAGTTGGACAACGCTATAATATGTGTGATATGCGTAATATGAATATGTATGATCTTCCTAGCCGCCGACAAGGAAGTGAGGTTGGTTTCTTCGAGTTATGAATGGGTCTTGTCTTGCGGGAAGAGGCACAGTTCGCTCTTAATTAGTAAATTTGGGGGTCCAAGGTCAAGGTGGGGAAGGGAGACTTTTTATTATCCTTTATGCGATAAGCAAGACTGAATTATCTGTAACCGTGTAACAATGATAGGACTAATTCTTATGTTTCCAATTAAAAGAAAGGAGTAAAATCATATATGATTTTCTTATAAAGCCTCATTAAATTGTTATTCCTTTGTTTTTTTTTTTAAGATTTAATATTCTCTTTCCTGATAAACAATACAATGAGGGGATGACCAAGCTACCAAAACGGGTTGGTGGGGGAAAGCTTCAACTCGTTTATCAGACCAATGATAATCCGTAAGGCTTAGTGCTGCATATGCATTCGAATCACTATCTTCATCTCCTCTCCTCTCCTCTCTCATCTCCAACCAATATCCAACATTCAACATCCAATATCCAGCATCCAGCATCCGTACCGAATACCCAGCAATGAAGTCAGAATATTTAACATCATGAGATATTTCAACAGAGGACTTAATATACCACCGGTTGTTTCTTCCTAACCTTCAAGAGAGTCGGCTGTATAACGACGACAAGCCACAATATCATGTCTTACACCCTCTCGTTAACCCGCTCATCTTGACGGTCTGTTCCTCCCTTTCCAACGGCGCTTGAAGCAGGCTACATGATATTTGGGCGCATACCAGCCGAGCGGGAAGAGCTCTTTCTATACCAAAATTGACACCCATTACAATCAGTTTCAATTTAAGACCACATGCGTTTCAATCACTTTTATGATTTTGAGTTTAAATATAGGAAGCTTAAAGCTTTTTCTCATGATTGAGGGCGATCATTTGTTGGCACCGAGGGACTGTACTCATTCAACTCCTCTCTACTTTCTTGTCGGTATCATCATTTGTCGTCTGCATTGCGTCACACTTGCAATCAAGTATCAATCTTTTCTCTTCTCCACAAGACGATGTTCTCAAAGTTCAATTGCGTTAAAAATTCATAAATTTCCTTGCTTGGATACTAGTTGAAAATATTCCCTCGTTTCAAATCCTTTCTATAATTACATGTTAGGTTGAAAGTCCTCGATCCATGCTTCAAAAGTACACGCGTATCTATTATAATGTCACGAGAACATGTGACGAAGCTCATTCATAATGGTCACAATGGTCACCATTCTCCACAATATTTTTCCATTCCTTTAACATACCTCCATCAGAAAGTCAGTCAGTCATCATCCATGGTATGACTAACCTACCATCTCTCTCTGCCGCATTCATTTTTTCGAGCTTCTTTCGCATGAAAAATCTGTTGATTTCCTTGAAAGCTCTACTACATTCATATGGATACCAAAAGTACCAGGGTGGCGTAGTAGAAGAAGTCGCCGTAGAAGAGTTGGACCAAGTGGTCAGACTAGAGGAAGAAGAGTGCATATAGCTAGCTGAAGTTGTGCTAGCCATGTCGAAGTCAGAGTTCCAGCTCCATGAGTCGTCATCGAGCGGCCTGAGAAAGTCACCAAATGGATAACATCGTTGCCCGATCACAGACTTAGGTTTGAGGATGGTAAGGTCGGGGACGCTACCGTGCCTCCCTAGCATATGTTTGTCAGTGTATTCTCACATGATCTTCGACCGTTCAAAACTATACTTACAATCGTTTTTAAGACACCAGTCCGCTTGCAACGTGGTCTGATCCTCCTCTGCTCGTTTACGCTCTTCTTTCTCTTTCAAATCTCGATTCTTTTTGACGAGCTCCTTTTTCTGTCCAATTCCCAATTTCAATCTATTGACACTTTCCTCGTCTACAAGTTCGAATACTGGACCCCGGCCTTGCAGTCCGTCTCGAAGACAAGCACGAATTTCTTCGATTCTTTCATGCTCCCAATCTAAATTCCACCAAATCAGTATATGCATGCAATGTGTAAATCCAAGCCACAATCCCCGGATTCACAAATACTCACTAACAGCTGCCACCCATCTGCCACCTCCCTTCTTTATCTCTCTCTTCTCTATTTCCTTACACCACCAAGCGAACCAATGATATTGTTGTTCCTCCGTCAGACCCCTCAAGTTGCAGTTCCTACGGCACAGCTCCTGGTAAGTATCCGGTGACATGCTAAGGATAATCTCGGTAATGATTATATATGGTACAGGAGGTGTGATACGATGACGCAAGATGAGAACGAGGAGTATGATATCGCGTCTAAAGGGGTTGTTAGTCGGGATGCACAAGCTGAGGTGTCAAGCGATACAAATGTGAATCATCTCTTTTCACGAAGACAACTAGAACAAGAAGAGAAGAATGAGAAGAGAATAATGAGATCTTACTTATCGCCTTTAACACACATCTTGAGCTTCCGTTCCTTGCCCTCGGGTTTTGTTTTTGTGGATGCACCCCAATTTTCAGATCTCCAAGACTCGCCTGCCCTCTTCCATTCCTTGCCCTCGAGGGCTTCGACTTTTGTGGATGTGTCCCATGACTCAGCTCTCCAAGACTCGCCCGCCCTCTTTCCTTCTATATTTTTCTTACCCATGACTGTCTGCTGTTGTAGCTCTGGCTCTGGCTCTGGCTCTAGCTCTAGCCTTGCACTGTACTTTCAGTCGGATTCGTATGCCACGAATAAAGTACCGGTATTGGAGCTGTTGTTGACAGTTGTATGGACGGTACTACAACCTGAACCTGAAGCCTATTTAGCGTTCTTGTTGACTTTTGAGAAGGAATTTAGGTTAAATCTTGAATTTCGAGTCCGTTAGGAGTCGTATAGTCGATTAAGTATGAGTAGGTAGGTACACTAAGTGTATAGTAGATAGTGGATGAGTAGATATGTAGTTAGATAGGTACTAGCTTATATTTCCAAGAGCAGAATAATCATATAGGAATGAAACTTCTTCTGAATTTCTGATATGACTCTGTGGATATGTAACAAGTAATGTATGTACGAGTACGATGAGATGAGTAAATACCAGTGTCATATACATACAAGTCGTTGATGCGTTGATGCGTTGATGTCTTTGTGAATGAGCGAGTGGGTGAGTGTGTTGGTGAGTGAGTGAGTTATTCAGATGTTAGTTGGATATTACTAGGAAGTTGGATGCTAGGTGATGAATAACAGTACTCGTGTTGTTGACAAGTAGAAGAAGAAGCAGAAGCAGAAGAAAAAGAAAAAGGTGAGGGAACTATGATTCATTCGTTTTTGTGGATGGGGATAGTATGTGTATGTGAATGTGTGGATAGATGGGGATGGGGATGATGTGTATGTAAGTATAGTTACAAAAATAAAAGATATATGTGTATGTATTGTATATTCGAGTAATATTCGAGTAATAAGGAGATAAGAAGGAGGTAGGTGATGTATATGATTAATATTCAAAGTATGAATATACGGTATATTTAAGGGGTAGTGTATTGTTGTAAAGTGTATTGTGTAGTGTATTGTGAATCATAGAATGAATGAATGGCATTATAGACTGATAATAGAATGGGACTAATGAAATACTGAAAAATGAGCTAATGATAGAATGAACTAATGGAACTAATGATCTATATTAAGCTAATATGTAATGTATGACTGGTACTGGTACGAGTATTGTAGACTTACTAGTATTGGTATAGGGGATACGTTGTGGTGTGGAGGATATGTTTTGACTGATACTATACTATACTACACTACACTTCACTTCACTTCACTTCACTGCACGATACTATACTTTACTTTACTTTAATTTACGTTACCATACAACCAGATAGATCCAGGGAAATAGGGGAGAAGTTAGGGGAGAAACCGGGGAGTTGGAGAAGCTAGGGAGGGAGAAGAGGGAATGAGAATGAGAAACTAAGGAAAAGAGGGCAGTGAATTTTGTATATGGTATGGTATAATATAGTGAAAGAAGAAGGGAAAGAGGATTGGGAAAGAGGGAACTTGAAGGTTAAGGAAAAGAGGAAGAGGAAAGGGTGTAGGGTTAGGGAAAGGATAAGAGGAAAGAGGAAGAGCTTTAGGATCTGGAGTTGGATCTGAAATGGTATATTTGTGAGGTGAGGTGTAGAGTGGATGTATATACTCGAGTACTCGAATGATAGATAGATTTGCGGTATTTGTAGGGTGTAGGTATAAAGTGTGAGGTATGTATATTATAGCTTGTGTTAAGAAAGCGAGTTATTTTAAATATATATATATGGGAAGATTTAGTATAGAAGGATTTAGCTTGAGGGGAAATTTAGTTTAGTTTAAGAGAAAGAAAGGTTTATGAGGAGATTTATAAGGATGATGAATACCTAGTAGTATCACCTCTGGAAATAATGTGATTATAATATAATGATCATGATGTACTGTATAATGTATAATTCTATAACGGTGTAATAGTGTAGTATAGGAATGATGGTATACTATATCTACTAGTAGTATGAATAGAATTGGGGATAAAGTAGTATTACTACTCGAGTATATGTTCCATCCATCTATCTATGTATATATTCGCTCTCCGTGTATTGGCATTTATTTATTTCTCTCTTTTTTTATCTTCCATTGCGTTGCATGACATTAATCGAAATCAAAATCAAAATCAAAATAAATAATGAAAGCCAGGTACAATGCATTGATTTTGGTTTTTCTATCGTGTAGCTCACATCATTTGTATCATTCATTTGCATCTCAAGGTATCTTCATCTTCATCTTCATCACCCGTCCCATCCCACTCTAATCTATGACCCACCCGATGTCTTAGCAGCCGCCGCCTTCTTCTTCTCCTCAATCGCCTTCAACTTGGCCAATTTCTTCTCTTGATTCTTCGTTAACTTGCCGTCTCCCGCTCCCTCTACTGAAGTTTCCCCCACTGTAACTTCAGCATCCACAACTACTTTCTTAGCATTTGGATTCCCGCCCCAAATCAACTCCTTCCTCGCCATAAAATCCGCCACAATCTCATCCGTGACCTTTGCCCTCCTCTCCTGGAACCCTTTCACATATACTTGCAACTCTCTAATACATCTTGCTTTTAATTCTCCAGTGAGCATCTCCCCAGATCTATACGCATTTTTTATATTTTCTAATTCCTCGTCATCTTCTAGGAAAAATGTCAAATACTGATACGCCACATCTTTTTCCGTGTCACCACCCTTCTCCCTCTGTTCCTGTTCGGTAACTTGTCCACCGCTAAACGCATATTTGTTGATTTTGTTCTTGATCTTGTTTGGATCGTCGTACATGAAGATGGCGGAGGTATCGACTGAAGCGCTCATTTTGGAACCGGGTCCTTGGAGAGCGTCCAGGAAACGCGAGTGGATGAGCGCGGGTTTGGCGAAATGGAGACGTGCGGCTACGTCACGGGTCATGCGGAAATAAGGGTCTTGATCGATGGCACAGGGGATTAGGGAGGGGATTTGGGTGGTTTTGGATTCGTCGGTACCGAAGATGTGGGGGAAGGAATTGGCGAAGGAGGTGGCGCCTTGCACGGCTCCAAAGTGGATTTTACCTATGCAGGAACTGGGGGATCTTAGTAAAGTCCCGATGGTCTCATGTGCTAGAGTATCTTTACCTCTCGTTGAAACCAAAGACAGCTCGTGCAACGTTCAATGTAACGTGCTTGGAGATTCGAGTAATGTTTTTGTAGAATGCTCCTCCCATATAGTCATAATCGCTAAACATGAATGTCTTCTTTGGGTCGAATCCAACAGCAATGATATCCTTCGCATTACTATCGGTGTAGCTTTGCACTTCCTCTATCGTACGTTTCTCGGAAAAGATATATTTCTCATCATCCGTGAGCATGATGATCAACGGAACATCGAATACATCTTGTAACCATCTATGAGTGAGTCATCAGTATAATCCGGAGAAATTGTAGCACTTGTAATATGCTTCCAACGTTCGCACGTTCGCACGTTCGCACGTTTGCAGATCTTGAGGATAGCATGAGACTCGAGAATCTAAGACTTACTTTGTAAACTGAAAGGGAACGGTATGTCCAATATGCATACTATCACTACTTGGCCCCCGTCCTGTATACAAGAAAAACGGTTCTCCCCTCTCGTGACGATCCAGCATAAGATTTAGATCGCGATGACTAAACACGATTCCTCTCCTCATGAACCGATGAGGTTTATGACCCGTTACTTCCTCAAACCTCTTTAAATCCGCCTCCTCGATTTTCTTGGTACCAAACTCATCGATCAAAGTCAAGTAATTAATAGCTTTTGCGATTCCATCTGCGCCAATCTCTCCAGCGACATTGTATGGGTCGACAGTTTGTTTCCCAGCAGGAGCATCAGTTGCCAAGGTGGCGGTAAGAGTTTGTTCCGTATCTGTCATGGTAGTGAGGATTGGGAGGAAATGTTTTGGTTTAAGGGGGACGAGGAGGGGTTATTTGTCTCTTTATTGATGGAGGGGAAATTATTGCCGTGTTATCATCCGAACTCGTCGGCGGTGAGAGGCTCAGGATACCCATAGTCACGTGTAATAGGATTCTCCCAATTAGGTTTGTTTCCTTTGTTTAAGCTGACTGACGTCGATGGATGGATGGGCGACTTGGCTTGAACCTCAAAGCTTGAATACCTCCTCCACCTTCCCAAATATTCATTGCAATGTCAACAACCTTTCATATTCACAACCAATAATTAGCCTTTTCCATCACACTAAACCCAAAGAATCAATAATCCGGGGAAGAGGATCAGGCGAGCAAATCCCTTCCAGAAGCTCTCCAAGTTCACATCATCAAGATCAACAATCATACCACCAACATTCGATTACTGATCCGACTTTTTTTTTCCTTTCATTCTTTTCCTTGCCTTCATTCCTCGATACCTTTTGTACCATCACAGAAACTACATGTATACCACGAATAACTAAATTCCTAATCAATCCTCACCAAGAAATCCATTACCATGGTCAAATTCTACGAATCCTCTTACTCATACGATTACTCCTTCCCCGCCGTCACCCTCGCCTACTTCCTTCGCTATCCCAATCCCCATAGCACACATGTGCTCTCCACCGATGTCATATCGCGCACTGTAGACCCTCAAACCGGTCGCTTGCGCACTCTGCGCATCCATCGCAAATCCACACGTCTGCCCTCCGCAGTCCTTAAGCTCCTACCCAAGAGTGTGCTCGGCAACGTGAGGAGTGATAGAAGCGAATCATATATATTAGAGACGTCGGAAGTGGATATCAAAGAAGGATGGATGACGACGGAGAGTAGGAATCTGGATTGGACGGGGATACTGAGTGTGGTGGAGCGACAAAGTTTTCAAAGGGCAGTGGTGAAAGAGGAGAAGGAGGAAGAGTTTAGTGTAGGGCCGGGGATGACGGGTGTGAGGACGCAGGTTAGGTTTCACAGTCGACTTGGGGATCGATTGAGAGCGATGAGGAAGGCTGGGGAGGAGGAGGGAGAAGAGGAAAAGAAGGGATGGTTGGCGACTTGGAGTACGAAGGGGGTGCAGAGGAGTATTGAGGCGATTGCGAGTAGGAAGACGGAAAATCAGTTGGGGAAGAGTAAGGAGGGGATGATGGTTGTGTTGGAGAGAATGAGGAATGGTGGGTTGGTGGGGGTATTGGATGGGATGAGGAGGGATAGGGAATTGATGTTTGCGGGTTTGGAACGATGAGTTTTGCATGATGGAACATGAGGAATGATGAATATACATGGATATATCATATCAAGGGAAGATGAATCACATTCGGATAGGATGCGGCAGGAGAGGATTATGGTGGAAGAAGAGAAAAGGAAATGCTATTTTATGAACGTTATTATTCCACACTTTCACTAGGCGGCGGGCCTTTGTATCAAAGCACACACCGAAACATACGGGAGCGAGGAGTTTGGGGTACAAACCATGGGAGGTTTTAGGGCTGTCCACTCTCATTTGATTATATCACATTGTATGAAAATGTATCACTTCTTGAACGGCGTTTGTGACGGTTTATTTATTTATGCGTGAATTTGCTTTTATATGTATTGACATTTTGATGTGCGAATTTCGGTGTGGTGATATTTGATAGACTCCGAGTGAGCTCACAATAGGGCTATATGTTAGCTCCCGGTGAGTCTCATAAATGCTTACAATTCCCGGTGAGCTTTTTCAATACAACATACCGACAGAAATAAACACTTTCCATCCAAATACTTAGTTCATATAAATTTTTTATTGTCATTTACATTGTCATCTATCATCCATCCATCCATCCTCCAACCCATCTATTTGTTCCTCTCCATCCCCCACACATCCATCCGCTCTCCCGTCTAAAACTGCATCCCCCCAACAAACTCCCTCTTAATCGGCGGACCCGTCCCATTCCCCAACGGCGCCGTACTCTGCGCCACATCTCCCTGCGTGGTAAACGGCACCGTACTACTCAAACTCTCCACGCGACCCAACAGAAACTCCACCGTCCTATAACTCGCGCTGGGCGCATACTGTGGAATCATATGACCGCTCAAATCTATATAGACGAACGTGAGGTTGCGTTCCGTATGGGTCGTTCCGAGTACGCCCGAAGCCGCCAGCGTCGAGGCGGAAATCTCGTCGTGGTAGGGTACGTAGAAGGGGGAGGAGGGTTTCTGGGAAAATCCTTGGGCGCCGTTCCATGTCATATTTTGAATCATGAGGAGCGTGCCGTTGGCGATGAGTACCATGTCTAGAGCACCGTGGCCGATGATGGTGCGTTTAGAGCGTTCGATGACGGAGGGGAGGATGGAGAGACCGGAAGGGAGAGAATTGTCGATTCCGTCGATGAAGACGTTGTTGTTGGAGCATTCGTCCCATTCCATAAGGGGGGCGTTGATGGCTTTTTGCACGTCGGTTCGGTTGAAGTAGATTTGGGCGCCGGTAGGGGTGTAGGAGTTGGAGCCGGGGAATCCGAGCACATCCCAGAGTTGCGGACAGGTGGTGGCTACTTGGTAGATGTCCCAGCAGGGGTTTACGTTGAAGACTTCGTTGTAGATTAGGTCGAAAACGTCGCATTCGTCTGCGGTTGTTATGCCATCATCGCTCGTGCCGGGAAGGTTGGAGGGGAAGGGTCCGGCGGGGGGATAGGTGAGGTATTTGGAGAGGTAATCGGTATAGCCGCATGAATCGGATACGTTGTGGATTTGCTCGACGAAGGAGTCGTTGAAGGGAAAGAGACCACCCCAGTAATCAACGAATTGAACCGCGGGGATTTGTTCTTGAACGGCATCGTAGGACGTCGAAGGGTCGTATATCATGGTTGCTTCGACGTTGTAATACTTTGGTCAATCATTAGCTCAAACCCATACTTTGCTTGCGGAGATAACCCACAGTAGAAGTATCATTCTTATTAAACATTGCATCAGCAATATACGGAACATAATATCCTGCATAAGATTCACCGGTAATAAAGACCTTTCTCCCTTGCAACGCAAAGGTGTCTACGAAATTCTCCCAAAATCCGAGAAATTGGGCAGCGACGTCTTCTTCGCTGGTCGCGGTAGGGGTTCCTTGTGAGAATCCCGTCCCCACGGGTTGTTCGACCCAGACGACGTTGGTGAGATTGACCCAGGTCCAGGGATTTTCCACTGGGGCGTAGGTTCCGTATTGCCAGGTCCAGGGTCCGTTTTCTTGGAGAATTCCTTCGAGGGATGAACATCCGGGCTGATGTAATGGTTAGTTGAGAACTAGGGTAGAGGATGAATGGTGCATCTGGTGCAGAAAACTTACGCCTCCGTTGAGCCAAATGAGAATTTCATCAGAAGCTAATTCATTCGTCGATGGGTAGAACCAAAAATATAATTCTCTCGTCTCGTTTGTATCTTTCGAAATGGGCAATAAACCAGCATAAGATTCTCCAGCATCGAAAGGGACATCTGGAATAGCGGAACCGTTGACACTGAATTCTGAAAGATTGTTAGTAGTTTTCCTTTAAACCCGTATCTTCGAACACTTACTAGCAGTAGAATTGGTCAAATATGGAAAAGTAGTATCCCTCTTCTCATATTGCTGTCCTCGCCTGGGAGTCGCATCTCTAGCTTTATGAGTATGCTTATCCTTTTTCCCAACATGCTTCAAGCTTCTTCCAGAATGAAGAGTAGCTTCAGCAATTCCACCTGCAATTGCAAGAGTAGAAACCACGGTTGAGAAACGCATCTTGTCTGATCACTAGAGTAACAAAACTCGGATCGTATAAAAGGATTGCGGGTGAAGAAGCAACAAATTCCTTTGATTATGTGGGATTTGGAGAGCTTTAAGTCTTTTGAGGACTTCCTAAAAGTAAAAAGAGCTTAGTGATAGAGGAGCTCTCATCTCATGTAAATTTCCATGATTATGATGATTTGGAGGGACTACCCTAGTTCAGATTCATTAATTCATCTAACCTTGAACAAATCCACCAAACATTCACCAATCTTTTCACCGTACCTCACGACCATGTAACCTATATGAGCCTATAGTCATGGTTCAAAAAGGTACGAAGGGTGAATCCTCGGGCACTAGTATATCTTTCCCCGTTTTTGATAGACTGGAGATATCGCAAGATATCGCTTCCCGGCTCTAGCTTTCCCAACCACCTCGGTATTGCACTTTCACCTGCCTTTTTGAGTTTAGTGATTACTGACTATTCACTAGACAGTAGTTGTAGTTTTAAAGATCCGATGATTATCAGTAATCTGAGTAATGAATATTTGTTGATTAATGGAAATAAGAAGAGATAGGAAATCACGGCAATACCGGTACAATATCTTTCTTTGTCATTCTGGTCATCTGAAAATCTAACTGCCTCAATAAGCATGGAATACTCCTCGCTCCGTGCATATTTCAGGAACGATAAGCTTGGCAAAAGTGGGATTACCATAGGCCAACATAACAGCAGCATTGATAGACCTTCTATCTTCAGGCGAGGCCACGGATTGTTGTATCACGATTCACGAGCAATAATAGAAGAATTACAAGTGTACGAAGAAGCTGTTGATCTAAGAATAGTGGCTGGCTATGTATTTATTACTGGATTGCCATAATGCGGATGGATAGTGGTATGAATCTGCTTCCAGTCTCTCTCTCTCGCTCAGCTATTCTATCCATACACCCGGGCATCTAATGTCAAGCTACCCGAAGTTTATCCGCAATGATTCTCTCCTTCATTCCTTCATACAGCGGTGAGTTCCCGGTGAGCCTTTTCATGGTCTAATCTTAGCCATTAAAGTTACAAAAGCAACATATGTTCAACTCTATCCTTTTCGCCATGCTCAATTGAAATCTCTTGGAGAATATTATCCCTTTCTGAAGTACACTTTGAGAAACAAAAATGGAGAGTACAAATGCATGTACTCGAAAACATTCAGTAATTTGATATTGAAGTTGGAGCTTACAATTAGACACCATACTGAATACCAAAACATGTGATTAGTTTCGGTCGCTTCTGTGGCAAAGTGGCCTATCTATACTCGTAAAGAAAGGCAGAGTTTCTCTTCAGTTTCGCAATGAAAGATGGGGTCAAGTGATGGTCTAAAGAGGAACCGGAATTACCCTTGAGGTTATGCGACAAGGTAACTTTCATTGTTCGACGGGATAGGAGTCTATTTACTGTATTTCGTTACACCAGATGATTATGAAGAAACGCGACTCGGTTGCTGCGGGATGAAATGGCAACAATCATGGTATGGAGGGGATTCGACAGTAACAGAGAAAACCACGGCAAGATATGAGAATCTAGGTCTTTCCTCAACACTTCTCCGAACACTTCTAGTACCTCTTTCACAGAGGCTTGACCGGCCCTTGGAAACAGCAGTATTTGCCGTGGTAGGTTCTTTCAAAGCGTCAAGTTTGACGAGACGTAGCTGAGTTGTATTGATCATATTATCAAAATATTGTAGGAGAAGGATGGAGAGATTGAGAGGGGCTCCAAGAAGACTAATATGCAAAATAAGCACGAGCCGAGGGTGAATGAAATTAGACTCCTGACTCCTTATTTGTCAAGGCCTAAAGCTGGTATGCTATAGCTTGAATGATATGCATTCACTATGACATACTAATAGCAACCGGCGAACTCTCGCTGGTCCTCCTACTCCTTCATGCCGGCTCATCTGGACCCTAATTACCGGTGCTGATACATTAGACTTCCTTCTTAAATGATCATCAGTCATGTTATGAAGATTCAAGATAAAGCACCCTGTGATAAGTAAAGTAAGATTATAATCTACAATTCACAGCATCCTGACAGTAATGTTGTATTCAGCTCAGTTATTAGGGCTTTGTGTTGCAGCTTTCTGGAAGCCCGGGATGGTGTACTGGTAATACATGAGGAATATTTTTGAGGATGATCTGAGGAGAAGTACTCTCGGTCGATCAAGACTCAAGAGCCTTAAATACAGCTCGTAGTGCGTTCAAAATTCAAATGCCTAATGGACCGTATGACCGAATGGTTGTATTGTATGGTCGTACGAATGGAACACCAGGTGAATAGACTTGAGATTTGATCGAGTGCTAGGAGAATTCAATGTAGTAGTAGTAGCTAGAAAAAGGTGAATGAAACCAACACAATCAATCTGCCCGGCGCTGTAGGTCATTCAATATCTTCCTAATCGCCATCTATATATTTTACGAACTTACGATGCATCACGGAAAGTGAGAGGCTGTCAAGACAATGTTAATACGAATATTGTATATTCGTCCGGATACTCATTCATAGTGTGGCTCTGGAGAAAACTCAAATCTCACGTCTTTCCGAACTTTGCATTGTTGCTTTCTACAAATAAGCATTTATCACATTACTACTATAGGGTCCATAGTACTGAGTACCAATTAGCAACTTAACAAAATGAGGAACAACAACATGAAACCACGATAAATAGCATGGTGCGCGACAGTGAGAATAGAAGGGGAGAAAAAAGAGACCAGGGGGTTAGATCTAGCAAGAACAACATGTCAACATTCTGCAAGTCCTAGATTTTCTGGCCTCGAGCCAAGCTACTGACATTAGATTGCGAGATATCTAATCACTCTAGTAAATAGTTAACAAGTAGCCGGAGAAAAGATGCGAGTAAAGATTTGAGATCTCGACAATATCGACGAAGAGCGTTTCAATACATTATATCCTCGAGAATTTTACTCTCGGAATACGCTATATTGTTATCTGTGGACTGGATAATACTAGCCCATAGATTAGGGAGACTTTGGTTACTAGAGCTTTAGGGCTTCCCCGGAGTTTGGCTCTTCTTTATTGCACAATTAATAAGTAGCCTACACTTATTTTTTTTTATGCATCACATTTAATACCTGATTAATAGAAGTCATAATGACAGGAACTAGCAAGGAACATGACGATATGAACTAAAGGCATTAGATGAGAGACCTAGCATATCTCCGTGATTCAATACCCCTAGCCTCTGCTATTGCTAGGACTTAGTTTCTTCTGGTTGATCCCATGTACAAAACCCCAAAACCACTCATAGGTCCATGAATGTATGCGGATATATCATTTAGTGAACTAGAATTGATTTTTGTCGTTTAAATATAAACCAAAAAAATGCAGTTTCCAAACTACTTGACCAGGGCAATCAGACACAACTGGTGAATGAATTCAACCACCTGAGTATGACCTAACTTCAAGGTAGATATTCTATAGCTCAGCCTCAAGTAGTCTTTATTCACCGTAGCGTATATACAAAGTATGACATATTTGCTCTTCACTTTGGGGCGTCTACTGTAGTTGTTCTGTATATCAGTATCAGTACCTAGGAGGACTGATCAAGATCCTTAGAATTTTGAGCACAATGTGCGCTTTCTGGTCTATCTAAGGAGAAGCATGGCTACCGAGCTGGCGAATTTGAGCACAAGAGAGGGGAGATTTAGATAGATTTGAGTTTGAATATGTGAATATATGAATCATTAATTGATAGGTTTACGTTAGTCACTCGCTATTTATATGCTAAATCGTAGCTAATAGTGGTGGTATTGAGTAAAAATACTTATAGCGAGGTTAGATATGTGACAGTTACTTTGAGGAGGGACTGGTGTGCTAATGCAATTGTTTTTCGAGCTAATAGCTGTAGTATATATCATGGTTACTTTAAAATTGATGCGAGGGCTAGGTTGATTAAAAATTTGTGGAAGGTGCTTGGGTTCTTGACACTTGGGTCGGCAGGAGGGAAATAGGTGCTTTATTGTAAAGAAAAGAATACTTGTTTATGACGAAGGAATTGCATTCTACATGTAAACAATCTGATAACTTGAATATAATTTTCAAGAAAGGCAGTAATTGATGATTAGACGATTTGCAGGGTCGAGGGGTCATTATATGATTGATTAGTTGATCGTATGATCAGAACTCTAGTGGTACGATTTTGGCAATAAATGAGTAGCTAAGCCTCAACTTTCAAGTAAGTAAGGAACTAATCAATAGATAAATGACCTAGACTTCAAAACAACTACTCTTATAAGCCTCTTTATAGTCTCCGAGGCGGGAACATTCATTCACCATCCATGTTTCTCAAGTTTAGGAAGTAAAATCTTAACTCAAGCCGAAGGTACAAGACACATCTGCATGCTTAGCATTGTAGAAGCATATGTTCAAACGAGAGACATACCAAAGTAGTGAGTTACTCCTCTTGATAGGTCCTCACATAAAATAGGGTGATATTTCTAATCTGTGAGACATCGGGGGAGGGAACGAGAAAACCGCAATCGCATGAACTTTACATGGCTGGCAACGATGGATGCTTGATATCTTCTAAGATCTATCCTCTGAATAATACCAGCTTTCTTTATTGACTAAGCTTTCATGGAAGTCGATGTAACACTTGTAATACACAGAGTGAAACCTAGCAGTATGATTGATTAATTGTATCCTCATCTTCCAACAGCATATTCATGCTTGTATCACTATGCTCGAAGCGCTGTAGAAGAAGAAACTTATACTATTCACCACCAAAGTGATTTGATACATGTGATGCAAGCCCCCTGAGCTATTTTCTACCCTTTTTTGAAGTAATTTAGTCTCGATTTGATAATGATCTTCGTGGCGGTGAATGCTTGCTAGGAAAGTAGCTGCGCAATGCCAAACATTTCATCTTCGAGTATTTATAATTCTACTATTCAAATGATACATACCACAAAAGAGATATTTGAGATGATCGTCCGACAAAGGTGTTTGCTGTATGCAGTACCTACTGGCTGTCCAGAAATCTCATCCTTCGATATGTAATTGATGAAGACTTGCAGCTTTCGATTTACTTCCGCTAGGTAAGAATTGGTACGCTCCTATAACAGCTATCATAAATTCATCTCCTCTCCAAAAATTATTATTGCCATTGAAACTGTACTGCCATCTCAAAATAATCTCAACACTAGACGAGATTGATTCACTTGACAAAATAAGCGAGATATGATAGGAGTCAAGACTATCAAGTAATGTAACAATAATCAGACAGGTCCTGGTCTTTCACATTGCTATTATCTACCATCTCTTTCCACCGAGTTTCTAGGAAATGACCAAGGATTTGGAAAACTGTAGGTCTGGATTAACAGACAAGACGAGACCTCAAGGACAATGTGAATCGAATGGGGCTATTGTAGTCTGTGGAAGTATTATATCTTCCAAATCGTTTATTAATTTAGCTTTATCCATTTACTTATTCACTATGTTATACTAGTATCAAGTAACAATTGAATAATGGATTAGCATCTCATTTCCTCCTGTAAGTGATGGAAATCGACAGTAACAGTTAAATCTGCAGATGCGGAAGCACATGAGTACGAGAAGCATAATATATTCGACAGGTATACTCTCAAAAACACCGATGAAGCTCAACGCCCAGATCTTCCAGCCACGTTCCGAGAGATGCCGATTATGTGCTCCTTAACTACTACTTGGACTTGCAAGTCATGCACCCTTTCTTTTGTTTTCGATCCTTTTACGCCACTTTCAAAGTCTCAAACTCCTCTCCCTCCCACACAAAAGAAAGTATTCACCTCCTACGAGTTAAGATCCTCGTGCCCACGCCACGTTTAGCCAATTCCGGCTTCGCTCCACGTGGTTACTATGCTATCGCTTACCTATCTATTCACATACCTAGTCTTCCCCAGGTTACTCCGTATCTTGCCCAAAAGACCCTAGGGCATCTAGAGATAATTTACTTGGCGGTGAAAGTGAAGAGTGATCTCATTCATCAACATGAGAATACTCAAAAGTCGCGGAGAGCACCGTGTCTTAATACACCACAGTTGGCCCTATTTCAGAAGTCCAGGACCAAGATATCGCACCCGAAAGTCATCTTGAATTTCTAATGACCTCCGGGCCACCAGAAAGCGGCTGTACTTCCTCGCCCGGGGCACATTGGGCACTTCTCATCTCGGCATGGGAAGATACGAGTCGATGCCATCTCTTCCTCTTGACAAATTGAAGGCTGATGGGATCTCATAGATTGGAGGGGAATAATTGGGCGTCTGACAATCCCGTAAAAAACAACTATACAGTGAAACTAGCATCATGGAATCTCAAGATCGGGGGTTCAAGCTAGGGGAAATGGACACATTGTAGCTGTCTAACATTTCTGTAAAACGAATAACAAGAAGCTATCTTACTTCTCCAAATGGCAAATCCCCTCTCTCTATACCCATCATCCATCATCTTATTTCTTTCCCGACGAATATCATAGAGAGCCCCACTGCAAATTTTATAACCCTTCGACTTTCTCAACCAGATTTATTTGTTGACCGATTGCAGGCTTAGAGCCATTGAATAATCCATGTAATTAGATTTAACGCACCTCCTTACAAACCCTTTCTTGTCTAGACCTAAGAATTTTTGAGCCAGCGAGCACTCTATATTGATAGTGAATTCGAGAAATATTCCCAACACTAGGTTACAGAACTGAACCTGCAGAACTCTACGCAGGCCAAAGACTCGAGAATGAAATCTCCTTTCTCAAGGATGGTTTAGAAGAGCATGGCTCACAAAATATAGTACGTAGTGTAGTGAGGCAAGGATGACCTTTGGCCTGGGTCGTAGTACGGAGAGTGGAGAGCGTATAGATTAGCTTTATCAGATCAGAAGAGTGAAGGTCAAGGGTCTCTGGCAGCGTCTCTATCTGGAAATGACGGAGTATGGGGGTTATACTCGAGAGATCCGAGTGTTACCCGCCAAAAAATGGTTTGTTGAGATTAAATTGAAAGAATATCAGCACATTGTTCTTATGCCTGTATCTTTTGCACAAACATATAGACCAATTGTCCATATCTCTGATCTTCTACTCGTAGAGTAGATCAAAGTTGGAGAAAGTAGAGTTTGATTGCCTTGCATATTTCATACCCTTTACCCGCAATGCTTCGTAAAAACATCCACTGATTTCGAGGAAAAACCTAGAAAGAATCTACCATTACCAAGGTCCCCACAGAATGTGTTATTGGGTCTAATTTATCCATTGGACAAGAGGCTGCTTTGCGACAGTGAGTAAAGAGCGTCCAAAGATTAGATTAGAAGAACTTGGCGGACGCCCAAGTATTCTTTTCATCAAGATACTAACGGATCAATCTTCACGTAATTTGCAATGCTCGCTTTGATTTCCGCACGGGAAAGAGGGTGGGAAGGGGGAGAGGGGTTCTTGAATAAGAAGGTTAAAGAAAATACTGAGATGTTCCGAGCGTCAGTGATATGAAGGCTGTTGTAAAGTACTAGAATAATTGAACCCCAAAGCATGATATTAAAGTGCCATTGAGGCGGAACCGGAATTCGAGACGAGTACAGACTTTCTGCAGCTTATCTCTAAGCAATCCTATCCTGTCCGTAAACGTATCTCTAAAGTAGATCGCAGGACTATCGACAGTGGAAACGAATAAAACGTTACCATACACAACAAACTCGCCAGAGCAAGAGATCCCAAATTGTGCCCTTAGAAATTATGGTAGTTGGATAGCGATATGAAATATATCACCGGAGGTTTATTGATAAAATTTGATGCAACACTAGCGACGGGGAGTAGAAGAAAAGGCAGCAACAAGAATACTTGCGTATACGCATCATGTCCCTAGGAGCATGCGTCCCAGAAACATAAAATTATGCACCGCACTGACCATACACATGCGCCTACCCCCGACTGCTCTTCACGTACCCTTAGCAAGTGAAGACTTTGAGAATGGTATCTATGGATAGTTATACTAGGAAATTTGGAACGTGTAATCAAAATAGCAGTTTCTCGGTCAATGAGATAAGGTATATAGGTATCTACAAATAAGGGAATATCACAATTGCTTCCCGATTGTAAATATCTCAAATTTTGACATCGTCGCTTATATAAATGAAATAAGACATACTGTATTCTTCAAGATTGTTGATTAGATTCGATGCGCGAAAACCACTTTATACGATAGATTCTATCCACAAGAAAATGTTACCCGAGGAGTTCAATAGAGAGATCTTTAGTGAACCAGATATATATAGTGACATGCCATGCCATGTCAACCTTCGCAACCATATTACTACATTTTGGATTGTAGATGCAATGTAGATCGATTCGATTGTCCCTGTCCGAAACCAGAAAGAGATAGGAAAAGAAAAGTAGGTATATACTCGAGTACTAGTAGAAACGATTGATTGATCAAAGTTCAAGTCAGGAGGCCAAACCTACACCGCAGTACTGGTATTTATAGGAAAGGAAGACGGGAAAAGAGAGGGTGAATACTGGATATCGAGAAAAGTCCAAGGAGCGGATGCTAAAGAAATATGTGGATGAATACCGGTATGTCAACCACAATACTCGAGTATTAATAGTAACGTGGTACAATCTCTTCATTGTAGGCAGGCTCCGCGCTGATGGTATAGAAATGCAAGGGGAATTTGGTAGGACTGGCTCTTGGAAACGGCAGAGGGATGGTTGGTGAGATGAAATTTTGTTGTGAATGTCGTATAGAGATAGATATTGCCCTGATTGTCCCAGTGCTTCCAATAGTTCGGGCTGCAGTGCAAATCTGAATCCTCCTGACGTTCGACAGTTGGACCCCTGAAACTTTGGGAAAGGTTTCCTTGTTTCAATAGATGTACTGTTTCAAACAATCTCGATGCAGATAGGTTCAAAGTTCTGAAATATATAAATATGTGTGCAATGAAAAAGTGGCTATAATAAGCTTTCATAATGCCCACTTCCACACCATATAGCCCAATCACGAATATGCAAGCGGCTGCAGATATCTTCAAATATTGTATCACGCAAGATGCCTCCAGTACGGTGTGTCATCATCAGGCTTTGCAATATTTCATTTTTAACTTAGGACGAGGTACAAGGAGCTGAACCGCATCGTTTTCTCCCACGGCCCATCACTCAACCGTTGTCCCATCCATTTGTCCCCAATGAATTCAAGCACAAATCTAGAATACCAAAGCAGCACCCTTGGTCTTCTTGTCACCACTATTAGGATATTAGCTTCGAATCCAAATGTGCTGCGCGCTTTCTTGCGCGCCAAAAAGGTGTAGGATACGTACCCAAGCTCGAAATGCTTGCAACGCTTCAATGCCAACTGTGCCTTCGTCTTGCAGGATGTGCATTCCAATCTCAACACAACCTTCTTTGTGGTCTTTGCCTTCTTGTGGAAAACGGGTTTTGTCTGACCACCATAACCGGATTGTTTTCGGTCATAACGACGCTTTCCTTGAGCGAACAACGAAGCCTATTCCAACGTGTTAATTCTGAAAGTTGTTCGAGGTGTCGATCGAGTATTGTACCTTTCCTGCCTTGTATTGGGTAACCTTGTGTTGAGTGTGCTTTCGGCAATCCTTGCCCTTGCAGTAAGTGCGTCTGGTCTTTGGGACGTTGACCTGCGAGAAGGAGGAAATGTCAGCTTCAATCCAGCCTGTAAACATCATTCTGACGCAGCGCTTCATCATGCCGCCCCGCCATCACTCTACATCATTGACTTTATTCGGCAGATGTTGGGATTTGTGTACGACTTCGTTTTGTCGCAGCAGAAAATATGGCGGTAGGGCTTCGTTCGGTAGCTCGAGGATAGTTCAATTTGCGCCTGATGCTATGCTTTCGTGCATCATTCATCGTTTCCTGTCGGATTGTCGCAAATCTTCTTCTCGAAATCTCGGTTGTTCCCTTTCCATCAATTCCCAATAATATCTCCATGGAACCTCCAACATCCAGCATTCTCAACAATTCAACAACATAATGGAATCTAACGTACCATCTTGGCGATTTATCTGGTAGTCGCTGGGATTGATGTTGTTAGTAACGTCGTTGATAAGATTTCGAGATTTCGATGAAATTGCAATGTGTGGGAGGCTCGCTTGGAAGTAGGGCCTTGCCGCTTTGAGACGAGGAGATATCACGTGTTATAGGATCACGTGGGATTCTGGAAGTGAGAAAGTCAGACATCAAAAGCGACATCGTTGGTGGTTATTGTTTGTGGATATTCTCTTGTAATTTGCCTGTTTCGAAGTTGATTCGTGTTTTTCCAGATCTATAACGCTCGATTGAACTCGTTCAAACACTGCCAGAGTCACCAACAATATAGGCACGCTATCAAGGGTCGTCCATCAAGCTGCAGAAGGAAGCAATCGTCAGCTTCATGGTATTATAGTATCATGGTATCATTCTAATAAGTTTGTTTCCGGCATCACTTTTGGTGTATTATCAGTACCTGAAAGCTTCATGTTCTTCAAAACTCCCTTCCTGAGGTCTTTGCTCAAACATGACATTGGACAACCCCTCCCTGCTTAGTCAATGTTGCATCCTTTAAGCAGATTGTCATTGCACTGCTCCATCAAGACATTCATATTCGCTATTCTCTTTTCCTGTGTTATGATACTTTGGGTGAAAGATGAATGTCATTAATAGAGAAGATGTTTATGACACTACAGTGACTACACGGGTTCACGAGATATTTCAACTAAGTGGATCAAGTGATCATCAATCACTTTTGAGCAGGGCTGAAGAGTCGAACAAAATCCAAGCTTGTTGTTGCCACTCTTTCAAAGACAACAGAGCCTTGCGCTTCGGGTACTCAACATCCGAAGCATGTTTCTTCAATGGCGAGCCGAAGGTCTACGTTTCTCGTGAACACTCGATAACTTGATGTTATTGCTGCAGTACTATACGCGAATTCTAGGCATTCTTGTTTTTGGCAGTGGGTTCAAGTGGAATACGAAAACGAATGCGAAAACAATTAAGGGGTTTGTAAAACCGTGGACGTCATGATCTTTTATAGTTGTGGCGATGGGGTATCTAATAATCTAACACAAATTTCTTCCCTACCAAGCACAGTTTCAAAGAACCTCCGGCTCATCTTGCCAACCCCCCTTATGAGTACAGTACTTAGAACTCCAATTGAACCGTCTCCAGCCCGTTTGTACTACCTCGCAATCTGGCAATTGTTGATGATCCCGCAAGGATCGTCCAGTTATATTGAAAATGGCCATGGCTCATAAAACTAACTCGACACGCTTCGGAAGTTTTGTGACCGAATAAGACGTGCATCTCAAACAACAGGTTATTCATTCTAGAGATGCCAATTGGCCAAATCGACGGATGCGGCTTCACCTTCCATATTTTTGAACGGCAAACCAAGGGTCCGAGGTTAGTCTCAAGTATGATGTATCTAAGTGACAATCTCCTTATTATAATGGAGAGGCACCATTCCCTCTAATCTAATTCCTTCTAATTTACTCTACTTTACTCTACTTTATAGTATTTTGGTTATCCCTTTTAATTTTCCATGTTTTCGATAATTATTCGTTGAGTTGTGATTTTCTTGTATTAATATTGTATATCAAAAGTGGTCCGTGCATTTCCATGAAATGATTTCACTGTTCGCTATTATTTTGACTACACTTCCAATTTATTGGGTGTATTCGAACATAGTGGGATTGCGGAAGAACATTGCTGCAGCCAAACGCTCAGGTTTACCATACATCGTGACCCGTGAGTTTAAATGGTCTTCTTTAGGTTTTTTTAATCTTCTAACTAGTTCCAGCGATTAATCTTTATAATCCATTTTGGCTGATAACCCATCGTGTATGGCTACCGTTAATCAAGAGGCTGCCGAAATCATGGACAGAAAGTTGGATTTGGTAAGTGGCTATTAGGGATATTGTTGGGGCCGGTTCTAACAAAACTTAGTTATATGACACCAGATTGGTGTTGGGAATTACTATATGATCCATTTGCTAAAACCGGGGATGCTTTTTTAACTGTCTCCCCTGGGTCGGTCCTCGGATTCGTTTCAAACGCAGAAGCAATTCATCAGATCACAAGTCATCGAGAAGCTTTTCCCAAGCCTCTCGCCTCATACCGCATCCTCGAGATTTTTGGTCGGAATATTATAACAACAGAGGGAATTGAATGGAAAGAGCATAGGAAGATTTCTTCGCCAAGTTTCACAGAGAAAAACAATGCGTTGGTGTTTGCCGAATCTTGCATTCAAGCACAGGGAATGTTAAGAAAATGGTTGGGTCCTGACGGAAAAGGCAATGTGACTTTGAAAGAAGTGCCCACCGATACGATGCGAATAACATTGCACATAATAAGCAGAATTGGATTTGGAGTTCGTTTATTATGGCCAGGGGAGAAGCCGAGGAATAAGGAACAGGAATCTGCCTACAGCAGTAACGATGCGCCCGAAGGTCACACTATGAGCTTTGAAAGATCTCTGAGTACACTTTTAGAGACTTTAGTCTGGGTGCTCTTCCTTCCAAAATGGCTTCTGAGTACGTACAAAGAACAAACCTATATTTATCATGACTAACTTCTGCAGAATTGATGCCTTTCCATTCTGCACGCGAAGCCTTGGAATCTTTCGAGAATTGGGGTCAGTATATGAATGAGTTGTTTGCCCAAAAAGCTCAAGATGCCATGGATGGCAAGGAAAGTGAAGGTATGGATATCATGGGCTCTTTGGTAAAGAGTTCATATGGACCCTCCAGTGCGCAAGGGTCTATCAAAACGTCACCAAGTCGAGTTGAGAAAGGTCAAGCTAAAAAAGTCGCTCTTTCGGACTCGGAGATTCTCGGCAATGCCTTTGTCATGATTGTAGCCGGCCATGAGACGACCGCAAACTCGATCCACTTCTCCCTTGTTGAACTGGCCAATAGCCCTCGATCGCAACGACAAGTACAGGCAGAAGTTCAGAAGATCTTTGCCGATGAACCCCCTGAAAGTTGGGATTATGATGCAAATATAAATACCCTCCTGGGCGGTACGCTGGGAGCCACGCTCAATGAACAACTTCGACTCATGCCTCCTGTGGTCAATATACCTAAATCAGTTGGTCAAGGCCACGATCAAACGATCGTTATCGATGGAAAGAAGATAATCCTTCCCGTCGGAGCTCATATCAATCTCAATACTGTGGGTCTCCACAGAAACCCTAGATATTGGCCGACCGAGCCATCAAAAATCACCACACAAGATAATGATCTCGACGACTTCAAGCCTGAGAGATGGCTCATCAAGCGAGTAGCGAAAGATGACAGTGCGACGGAATCCTCGGAAGATGATGATTTCGGTGGCTTTACGGGAAAGACCACATCCGAAGGATTATTCCGCCCAGTGAGAGGTTCATACATCCCTTTCTCTGATGGGGCTCGGTCTTGCTTAGGACGAAGACTGGCCCAAGTGAAAATCATGGGTGTACTTGCAGTGATTTTTCAAAGATGCTCAGTAGAGCTTGCTGTTGATGAATGGGCTACAGATGATGAAGTTTCCAAGATGTCTGTTGAAGAGAAAAGAGCATTGTATAGCAAGGCGCAAAGGAAATCAAGAGAGACGATTAGAGGGGCTACAACACTCATCACTTTGAAACTTCACCCTGGCTTCATTCCAGTGCGACTGGTAAAGAAAGGAGAGGAACGATTTGTAAATATTGTAGATTAGTGATTTAGCTGCATTATACCAGACTGCTTGATAGTCAATGTTCAGAGTGACGGGAAAGAATTAGAAAAATCAAAATTTCAATTGTTCCAATTTCAACATATGTATGAAGATCTCCTCGAATAATTGAAAAGGTCACGATTAATTATGAATTTCCATGTCTCATGAGGCAGACTAGATGTCATCAATTCATTGTAGAGTGGGTGGAACAGGAAAGAATGTGAATGTGTGCTCCTTCCACCCTATGTAAATGTGTCTACCCGTCCCCAGCAGGTTCTCAGCCTTTTGATGCGCTTCTAGGATATATGCTCATTCCTTCCCCGGACTCGAGTATTTGTATTTTGCAAGGAGTTCCTTGACTCTCCCATGACAATGGCAAAGGACAGAGCTTTGCATAAAGAAGATCTGCTCAACAACTCAGACGAAATCTCAACCCATGTGAAGGGAGATGACTTGTGATGCTACCCCTACTGAACAATTATTCACAACTGCTTCATCGAATTCTATCCAATCACGTGAGTAATCTAGCGCTTGTTTTGTTGACATGCTACGCGATTCCTTCCTCATTCGGCACCCCACAATATTTACTCAAACTTCGCACGAGAACCCCGAAAAGCACGCTCAGGTAACCCCCGCACCTTACCTTCAAACACATTATCAAACATAATTATCGCGGTGGATTTAGTCGCGAAGCAGACATCATATCTTACCATGTCTGGGGTAGCGAATTGGATCAAGGCGCAACGGAAGGGGGATTTGATGGAGCTTGCGGACTCTATCGGACTCAAGTAGTATGAGACACGCACATATCTTCAATAAAACCCGCTGACATTTCTCTCAGTATTGACGGCATTAAGAAGACAGAACTTGAGATTGCGCTTGAGGACTACCTGGTTGAAAACGAATCACAACTCGCCAAAGATACGCGCCTCATACCATATTATAACAGAAGATCCGTTGGCTCACCTGTGAAGAAGGAACCTTCTTCTCACGAAGATATGGATACGAAAAGATCGTTGAGACGCAGAGCTAGACTTACGTCTGAGATTTCGGAGGTCGAGAATCAAACTATGTACGTGTTGCGACGCGCTAAGCGCGTTCCTTGGGTTCAGAGAGTAATTAACGCTTTGTAGTGACGATTCAGAATCCGAGCGAGCAATCGCTCGCTCTAGCACAGCTCTTACACGAACTCTTCGCGTTAGCGCTCTTTCATTCTCAACCGTCCCTCTTCCACCGTCTCCAGCCGTTGTCGCAGATGTCATCGATCGCCGCACAGCAGTTTTACGCGCAAAAGCAAACGATTACTATAAGGACTTGGGTGTAGTTGAGGCTGTGGAGACTGCCCGTGAAACAGTGTCAACCGTCGTGGCTCTTGAGTTTATTATGCTATTATCAGAAGCACTACAACTTCAGCCAGAGCTTCTGGAGAACAAATTTGCTTTCACAATACCCGCGCTTGACGTTCTGAGTACATCCGAATTTGCGGTCAAAATTCCGGATTTGTTCCTCTTGTTGACCACGTCATTCTGGGGTCCTTTTACCTTATGGTTATCCACGAGTCTTTTGCTTCCATTGTTTGGGGCATACTTTTTCAATTTGACCAGCAAACCAAGCACACGAACCAAACGCTATTCGTTTGACCCGTTGACATTCAACATCGTGAAGGGACTCCTAACATTTGTGGTTTACGGACGAGACGCAACTCTTGGCGGACTCGTGAACCTTGAACACGTGGCTAGGATTAATTCGGCTCTCTACGGGGGTTACAAGAGTGTACTTGTTGGAACCGGTATTGGGATTCTGGTTACAATGTACGATGCTGTCTTGAAGAAATAATATTCTTTTGCAGGCATTGGCTGTCCGCGGGTATGAAGATGCTTGCATGGCATAAATGGAACTTTTATTTTCCCTCGTCGCCTTTGGATATTTTCTTTCGGTGGGACGTTGCTTTCCAGCGAATCATCTTAAGCGTGGGTATCACATACTTAGCTATGCGGGTAGGAGGTTGCATGTACTATCACTTCCTTCCTTGATTCCGTCTATCCTCCATTGTGCCAACATGATCTTCTCTAGTATTGAGATGCATTGGGGAGGCGTTTGAGGCGCGACTGATTCGAGATACCTCATTTGCGCTATATTTTTTTGGTTTGGGGGTTTTGGGAGTTAAGAAGGTGCAATGTATTTGGTTGATGGCGGGCTGTAGTGGAATTGGATGGATAGTCTACTTTTTTGAATATTTAGTTTCGGGGGCAAATACTTCAGAAAAGAACGAGAACTACCTTAAATTTCTTGCTTGATTTCCGACTGGTTTACAGATGAAGCTGATTATACCTGATCAAAATTTTGAGCCACTGAGAATCTCGTACTAAGAGATATTCAATGCTCGTATAGAGCGTTGATGTTTTAAGAAAATTCGGACATTACGGCCCTACGCACCACTGATCATTTCCAAGATAGCTTTACTAGGGCAAGAAGAACTTACCCTTGACAGCGTGCAGAGCAGCCAACAAGCATCCGGTGAGCGAGACCATCTTGGCTAGTAATGTTCAGGTATTGGATCAGAATACATGCCAAGTCAGCATAATGATACCGCCGAGGAAGTTGTCACATCCACCCCACCACCACTATCAATGATCATCCACTTGATCAACAAATACCCTTCAAGAGTCACTTGTGATGATTTTGTCTAGTAAGGTGGTTCGGAGCAAAGGTATCTCTGATTCGCAGGATAGAAGTCGAAGAATAGAAGGAAGTTTTTTTTTTGTCTCCTGGTTTCCAAATTGGGGTGGCGAGTGGGTGCTACGCTGTTGGTTATGTGTGTATGGTTTGATGTTTTGAAATGGATTGTTTTGCTTGCTGTTGGGGTTGTGGAGAAAGTGATAGTGATAGTGATATAGTGAATTTTGAGAAGGGATGTAAGGCGGGGATTAATGAATGATGTTGGCTTAGTATGGTTCGTATGGACATTGTCAGACACAAAAGATTAGTGGTCCGGATACTGGTCTAGAGTCGTGGATGGAGAAACAGTAGGTTACGAGTATAAATGGGGAGATACAAATATTAGCGAAAATGAAAGAAAAAGAAGTATGGAAGAATGATACGTGATGAGTGATAAGATAAGTGAGTGATGTGAGAGGCAAAAGTCATGATTCTTTATGTACATGACAAAGTGGATTTCAGTCGCACGTTTTGCAATTGAGGCCTTTGCATCCCCATCCGCCATCCAGCTTCTAAGTCTTATATTGCTGAATCAGACACCGGAGAACTCGTATTAGTACGGCTCATATCATCAGTCTCGCCAAGTTTTAGTGCAGGGCAGGGCAATGTCTAGTTCTTGATTGTTGACTTTGTTCACAATCTCCAGTTCTGGCTGCATTTGGAGATTGTCGGTTGTATATCCGTCTCCAAACGCGTTTCACGGGGTCAACGGGCTGCAGGATATCGTGTTGGGAGGGTGGTAGATTGGTATTTCTTTTTGTTGTTGTTGTTGTTGTTGTTGCAATAATCGAGGGGAGAAATGAAGTTGACAGTGAAGTGAGATCCGCATCCCGCGCGGAGTGCAATGCTGGAACGCCCATGGTAATGCTACGGATTTCCTGTTGGTGTTCTAGGACTTTTACACTTTCTATTTGTTTTATTTCTTATTTACACCAATTTTCACCTCCATCCCTCTAATTATAATTATTGGAAGTGCAGTCTAGGCTCACACAATGTCCCGTGATACAGTTCATGTGATATTGTTTATATACATGTGCCTCACGCACTTATACATATATTCAATCCCATTAGAATACCTTTAAGGATACACATATACAATATTACTACTATTGTACCTATTATAATTTTAGTGATATTCTAATAGATTATAATCCTGTATTAATCAATACTTATACTAATATATCGATTAATATATTTATAAATAAATAATAAAAGAGATAACTCTTTTTTTGTCTTATATAAAAACTTACTTTATTAAATATGAAAACTCTGATTAACAAAGTTCTAATTTATCACAATAATAGATCCTATAGACATTATATAAACTCGCTGGGGATTTATTACAATCTTCAACAAAAACAATTAGACCAATTTCGAATAGATCTACAAAATGGTATTAATAACCGCTTAGATATAATTCATTATTAATAAGGACTTAAAAAAAAGGCCAAAAGGATCAGAGAATACAACTAATCCATTATATATAGATTTTATAAAACAACTAATTAATAATATCTTTATCTTCAACAGCTCTATAGAAACAATCCACCATCCATCAATCCTCAAGTTAATTACTAAATTTGATATTTAAGGGGAATAAAGAATTTTCAAATTATATAACAAATCCAAATATTCTCAATACCTTGCTAAAACAAGAGTAAAGTTCAATTAAAACTATTTAATCTAAAAACACAGTTAATATAAAGATTCATTAATATTCTATAAAACTATTAATTATTTATATTAGATATCAAATCTGCAATTATAGATATGGACGTCTTTTA